TTTTCATCACTTCCTCCTTTGCCTGAATTGAGGAAGGAGCTTGTGTAAAGCTGCCTTAGGTCACCCAAGAAAAAATCCTTACGGGAATTCCAGAAGAAACTGAACGCAGGATTTGCCTGATTCAAGTTCATTTCTGCGTATCTGATTCATTCCAGAAAATGAAGTAACAAGGGACAAACTTCCTTTGTGTTCAGCTGGAGAAGCTAAAATAAACAAAGTGTCCTGAATACAAGCAAAGGACTTCACTGGGCAACTGAGAACAATTACAGTCATTCTGCAACAGCTATGGCTAGAGAAGGAAAAGACTACCAGCACCACATTCAGAACTGCTCACAAATTTGTATGCACAGTGCTCAACTGAAGAATGAAAACAAAGTAAAAAGCAGCTATGAACCATGCAAGATATGAACACGTGCTACAAATACACACCGTTAGAGCATCTCTCACACAGTCATCATCACACTCCTCAGTCTCCCTCACATGCCCCCAGACCGCTCTCTCTGATCAGTTGGGAGTACTGACAATTTTTCATCTTGTCTTTCTTCCTCATATACAGGTCACATGAAGAAGTGAACTAGATATCTAGCCGTGCAGAACACATGAGCAAACAAGCCTCTCTGCAGAGTAATTCCATATTTTAGTACCGCTCCATCGAAGGTGAGCCTGTAACACTATATTTACAGCCACCCTACTAAAGCCAAAGGGCAGAAGAGTCATGAGATAAATTTGTAGCAACGATATTCTGCCAGCACTGTGTCCTCACACAGAAAATAAGCAGATATTTAAAAAAAAAAAAACAACCCCAAACTAAAAAGCCTGTAACACAATGGAAAAGTCAGCAATGACAGCAGAGCAACAAAGTCCCAGGCTACAGCAAATGAGGACTTGCTCAAAGGTGGCAGCTGCACGCACAGAAACAACAAAAAGAAGCTACTTACCCTCAGAAGGCCTCAGCTACCCAGGGAACTCGAGAAAAATACTCTCACTTTCACAGCCAACCCTTAAATGAGGGCTGGAAGGGGAGGATCCTGGCTCCAGCCCTTCTATCACTCAGGTTCACTGCACGCACCTGAGCTCCCCTGCTTTCACACCAGGTGCTCCATCTCTGCTTCAGCTTGTGACAGCATTTCCACTACACCCAGCAAAAAGTTTTCATTTGTTAAGACACTAACCCAACTGATTGAAAAATTCAAATGCTGATGGGTTTGCTCAGTAGTACAAATTCCTATAACTAAGTTACAGGAATATAAATTTCTAAGCCAGGATGACTGCTTGCCTGTCCTTTCAAAATACCCAAGTATTTATCAAAGGAAGATGTGTTACTAACCCACCTGCACATATAGCAGCAATCAGGCCTTTTCTGCTTTCCTGATCTTTCAAGATGTCTTTAACAGCAGCAGACTGAACAAAGATAAAAAAAAGTCATTGCTTTGAGTTGATTATTTGGGTTGATCATACAAAGCACCATTTGAACCATTTTCTACTGCATATTTATGAACAAGATTTACAAAGAAAAACAGCCTGACAACATTCCATCCCGTCTCAGGACAGGGAGAGTGATGTGGATTTAACCTGCTCCAATGTACATGAAATTAAATCTTCATTTGCAACCATTTCATCTTCATATGATGATGAAGACCGACCTTCTATTGAGCAGCCTTCCATTTTTACACAGCTTAACCAGGTAGTCAGGTACCAGAATTTACATCCCTCCTCAACATTTCTAAGAAAGCTTAATACTATTAACAATTACTTACCTCTTAATGATTCACTCAGAATAGAATTTTCAGTTGTTTAACTGAACTTGCATTATTACTATGCGAGTGCAGACCATCTACTGCACACGAGAATGCTTCCGAATCTTTACGATACCAGGACTTTACCTCTGACAAGTTCTGAGCTCCAAGGTTACCTCCAGGCAGGACAATGACATCGAAAGGTCCCTAAACAAACAGATAAGCTTTGTTGAACAGAGGATAGTTATCTGTCACGTTGTTCCAGGGAAAGTACAGCTAAGTGAATGGAGAAGCAAAGGGATCCTTCACTGAGAAGCCTTTTCTTCCACTGAATGACACTTGAAAAGCAAATAATTGGAAATAATTATGTAAAAAATATTTCCAGGAACAGCCTATGAAGTCTGATTCAGAACACACTTCTAAGTCCAGTGACTTTAAGAGCTTCCACAAGCAAATGGTAGCTCTTCCATTGTGAACATGTGAAATAAAGCTCCATGTCTGACATTGTGCAAAACCAAATCTGATCTTGGCCTGCTGTGAAGACAGAAGGGACTGATTTGCCATAGTGACTTGCAGAGCTGCACATAACAGAGTGAACATAACATGCAACACATTTCTAAAGGCTTTAAGAATTCACACGAAGGCCATACTGATCATTGTATCAATTCAAGATGATGACAAACCTCTTTTCTGGCATCTTCTAGACTGGCATCAGGACAAATGAGGACATCTCGACTACACTGCACCGGTTCTTTCCCAGTCAGGCCTGCAACAGTCACCTTGATCTAACAGAAGAATACATCTGTCATTGCAGTTCAAGAGTTAAAGACATTTGACAAGCTTGTACTTCCTACAGAACCCAAAAAAGGAGAACATTAACAAAATCACAAGAGCATTGGGGAAAGGTAGTTTTTATTTTAGTCCTTTCTGTCAGTGTTCAGTTATTGTATTTATTTAAAATTTTATTTTCATACTTAATCAGAATACAATACTGTGTACAACTACTAATGCAGAAGTAACAAAGAACATGAGGAATCCCACCAGGCACAGGTCAAGTTACTAACAGAATTTAAAAGCTCAAGTAGAGCTGTGTAACACTGTAAGCTTGAAGAGAACAAAGCAGTTCAGAACCCTACACAACAAATGAAAGCCCCTACTGCTCAGCAGGGCAGCAGACACGTTTGGTAGGGTAAGACTTACTTGAAACATCTGCTGTAGTTTACTTTAGGCTCACATTTTAAACGCTTCCTAAGGACAAATGTCATTCCTCCCTATTTGCTGTGCAACACAAGTACCAGCTAACTAGTAAGGCAGCTCAGGCGAACATTGACATCATGTATCAGAGTACACTCTGAACTTGAATTGGAGGCCCAGATTTTGATGATACCAAGCAATCATGAAAAAAACAGATTCTTCATTGTCTACGTACTCACCCCAGCTCTTCTCATAACATCGGTGGGGATGACAGTTTCCATTTCCTCTGCCCCTTTCGCCAGAATCACCAATGCTCTTTTCGAAGCCATGTCTGAAGGGACTGCAACTGCAAGAGAAGTTTGTGAGCAGGGTGACATTAGAAGGCAGATCCCCTTGTGTAAAGTCTTCCTAACAGTAAAGTTTAAAAGTAATTTGCACTTCTGCACTATCTTTCAATTAAGCCATCTCAAAAACAGTTCACCAGCTTAAGTGACATTCACAGCAATCCTAAAAGCTTTTTTACAAAGCACACGCTGTGACACAACCAACACATCTGTGCAGTGCGAAGCACAGCACGTCAGCAGCAGAACATGAAACACTTCGGCCCCATCGTGACCTGACGTAACTTCAGTCTGCCACAGAAGGGCTCAGGGTGGGTGGCTGGGCTGTCTGCAGTTTGCCCTCACTCATACCCAGACTACCAACTCCTACCCAGGTCAGCACTTATAAAAAGAGCTTCTGTGAGCTTTGACCTCACAGCTGGTATTTAGTTTCCACACTTCGTTAAGTTTCCTGTGACTTAATAATGACTCGACCGGCGCCCCTGCAAACCCTCAGCCATAGATTTTCTGAGTATTTCATAACTGAGTGGCGGAGAAACGTGTGCACACATGTGACGGGGGAGCAGACCACAGAATTTAGAAAATGGAACAAACGGAGCAAACTCAGCTTAAGAATTATTTTTTTTAGCTACAAAGTTCAGGCTGAGGTGAACGACCAAATTTCCATTTGAAGGTTAAGTAACAACATCACGTAAAAATCCACATTAACTTATGCTGGTCCGACAGAAGTCTTTGCATGCCTTCACAATGTGAGAGGAGGCATTTGGCAGGTCTGTCACTCTGAGGTAGATCTCTTCCTCCCATGCACAGATGCAGAGCACCCAGGAGCTCCTCATAAAATGAGATCCATGCCCAGTAGTCTCCACCAAAGAAAACCATCCCTCCCTCTGTCTCAGCTGCCGTATTTCCAGTTGGCATCTGTTAGAAAGCCGTTATTTCCAGGCTGCGCCCAGCAGGACGCCCTGCGGCATGCAGACCTGACCGACTCGGGGCGCAGCGGGACGCATCCCGTCACGATGTGAGCCGCGCGTGCGGCACGGCCTGCCGGCGTCCCAGAACAGCTTCTCTGGAAGGCGCACGTTTATTCTGCCCGCATTTTCTTACGGATCAGAACAGTCACAGCGCAGCTTCCCCACTCGTTCCTCGGCACGCAGCGCTCCCACAGGGCTGGCACGGCGCAGGGCCGGCGGCTCAGCCCGCCTTCGATGAAAGGTCACGTCTTTACGCGCTCATTTTAGGACGCGGCACTATTTCGGTTGGAAGCGGGCGACCTTTAAGGCCCCTTCCGACCGCGGCCGTTCTACGGACGGACGCAGCGAATCAGCGGACAAACCAACGGGCTACAGCAGGACGGCGGCAAACCGAGAGCGGGCAGCGACGGGCTGGGCCTTCTCGCCGGGCCAGCGGCCGAACGGGGCCGAACCAGCGGCCGAACGGGGCCGAACCAGCGGCCGAACGGGGCCCCCCACCACTACCGGGCCCGGGACTCCCTCAGCGGCGGCCCGGCCCGGCCCAGCATGGCCCCACGCGCGACTCCCACCTCACCTCACACCGCCGCGGCTCCGCACGGCCCCGCCCCGCCCCGCACGGCCCCGCCTCCGGCTGGGCGGAGCCGCCGGGAGGCCGCTGATGGCCGTGCCGCTGGGCGGGCTGCGTGCTGCTGGCGTTTACCCGCCGGGCCGATACTCGACCATCCGTTACTTAAATCTTTCCCGCGTGTTCTGGGGAAATGCTCCCATTCGTCTCTGTGGCACCGCGGCCAAACGGCGCTGCGCTTCGTGACGGGTGGCCTCAGCGCCATCGCCGCCGCCCCGCCCCCGCTGCTGAGGCGCGAGCCACCCGCCCCGCGCCCACCCCTGAGCCCGCGGCCGCACGCACCGTTCGCGCCCTCGCTGACGGACGGCACGTGACGTTGACGCAACCGGGGATTGGCTGTGGGAAGCCGCAGGGGGCGGGGCTTCGCATCCGTGTAGCGTCCAACGGCTCCGACAAGTCACGTGTCTGTAGCGACGCCTCGCCCATTGCGGCGCTGCGCTTCGTCCCGCGCTGCCGCCCACAGCGCCGTTTGTTTCCACGCTCCGCGGGCGGGCGGCTCGCGATGTCTCCCCTCCACCCTCGGCCGCTCGCAGCGGGTCACCCCGCACCACGCGGGACGGCACCGGGCCGGACTCCCGCACCCACCGCGGGGATTCCTCGACGCTCAGCGGGAAGCCCCGGCGGGGAGCGCTGGTCTCTGCCCGGCAGCGCCGAGGTGGCGGTCCGCGCGGGCGCTGCCCGGCAGGACGAGGGTCTCGCCGCAGCCCGGAAAGCCCCGCTGGCCCGGGGTTTCCCCGCCGCCCCCGGGTGACGCAGCCGTCCCGCTGGGGGCGGCTCTAAGGGCCGCTGCCCGCCGCCACACGCGCACTTGGGAGCGCCGCTCCGCCGCACACCGACCCCATGGGAGCGGCCGCCCCGCTGCTGCGCGCCGCGCTGCTGTTGGCGCTGAGCCCGGCGCACGCGGCCGCCGCTCCGTGCGCCGCCATCTGCCCCGCGGGTGAGCGCTGAGCCGGGCCGCGCTGCGAGCCCCGGCGGCGCTTCTCTACAGCCTCCGTGTCTCTCCTGCAGGTACCTTCGTGGCCGGCGCGGGCTGCGGGCGGGGAGCGAACTGCCAGCAGTGCCCGTCCGACACCTTCTCCAGCGCGGTGGGAGCCAGCAGCTGCAAACTGTGCCGCAAGTGCGAAGGTATCGGGGGTTAAGAGCTGCCGTTCGGCTCGTTGTTACCGCTCGTGGGGCGCTGCTGGACGGCGGGTGGGCTCAGCCGGAGGTGCCGTGCGCTGCACCCACGGCAACGCGGCCAGCAGCGCGGAGGAGGGATCCGCACCTCTGCTCTGCGCTACGGAGCCCCGCCTGCAGCGCTGTGCCAGATGAGCGGCTCGCAGTACGGGGCGGACGCAGACCTGCAGGAGAGCATCCGCGGCAGGGCCAGAAAAGCTCCGAGGGATGGAGCAGCGCCTTGCGCGGACAGAGAGCTGGGCTGTGCAGCCAGAGAAGAGAAGGCTGCGGGGAGAGCTGAGAGCGGCCCGTCTGCGTCTAAAGGGGCTGTAGGAAAGAAGGGGACAGTGCTTTTACCAGGGTCTGCTGTGACAGGATGAAGGGAACTAAAAGAGATTGGATGTAAAGAAGCTTTTAAAGTAAGGGTGGTGAAGCACGTTGGGCATAGGTGGTGATGCTCCATCCCTGGAAACAGCCAAGGCCAGACTGGAGGAGCTCTCAGTCCCTGGTGGAGCTGTGGGTGTCTCTTGCATTGCAGTGCGTTGGACCAAGTGACCTTTAAGGGTCCCTTCTAATTCAAACTTCTTGGACCTCTCTCTGAGCTGGGCAGCTTAATTTCTGTAAGAGCAAACGACCTGGACCTTTGCTGCACCAGGTTGTGTGTGCTTGAAGCACGTGTAACATCATGCTCGTTTCCTCCTTCCAGGAAGATTCAAGTACTTAAAGGTGTGTTCACCAATAAGTGACGCTGAGTGCACGTGCAAGGAGGGATATCGCTGCAGTGACGATGGCTGCACCCGCTGTGACAGAAGCTGTGGGCTGGGCAAGGAGAGAACTGGGAGCGGTACGATCTCCCTTCACCACCTCTTGTGTAGCGCAGAAAAAATTGCATGAAGGACCTCCTGAGCTCCTGAAACTGTGCCTCAATTGGTTCCCTTTGCATGACAGCTCTTTTGTCAACACCGTGTAGGAAACTGTACCCAAGTATCGTGCTGGTACAAAGCTCACGTAGCTCACAGGGAAACACATGCCTTGTACTCCAGTATTTGATGGAACTTATGAGCAGGAGGGAGACCTACTTTTTGTGTGGTTCAATAATGAGAGGACTGGGGGGAACAATTCTAAATTAAAAGAGAGGAGATTTAGATTAGATATTAGGAGGAAATTCTGTACTCAGAGGTTGGTGAGACCCTGGCACTGCTACCCAGAGAAGTGTGGGTGCCCCTGGAGGTGCCCAGTGAGAGGTGGATGGGGCACTGGGCAGCCTGAGCTGGTGAGGGGCAGCCAGCCTACAGCTGGGATGGAGAGGCTGTAAGGAACCTTTCAACTCAACCATACTGTGATTCCATGATTGTGTACTCACAGCAACTTATAACAATTCTATGAATGTAGATAATACCGTACAGTCATGAGTAACATTTCATGTGTTCTTTTAAATACTCACCTTGTACTAACATACCTCTCCTTGTCCGTTGCAGGTTGCCAGACTTGCCCCTATGGAACTTTTAATGATCAGCCCGATAGCTCTTGTAAAAACTGGACAATGTAAGCAACAAAACTAAATGCTTTAACTTGACTGGATGTTTTTTCCATTGCATTTCTTTTTCTTTCTTCAAATGTTTTTCAGATGTTCTGAAAACCAGGTTCTGCAGCCTGGAACTGCAACAAAAGATGTGGTTTGCAAACACAGTCCAGATAATCCCACTTTAGCCACCACTTTACCCACCACTTCTCCTGCAGTTCCATTTCCTATCGCTGTGCCAGGTGAGTCATTGTACAACGTTGCTTTTAGAGCTGAAAAATCGGGACTAACTGTGAAACGTGCTATTGCTCATTCACTTACCACTGGAAGTAGGATCCCTTTCTCATACCCATTTCCAGTACTGCAGACTAATCTAGAAGCAGACCTATTGAGATGGGGACAAGAAAGCTGGCTAATTTACATGCAGTAGAATTTTGTTCTGTTGTTTGCTTCTTCCTAGGGAGGGACCTCCAGATGGACATTATCAGAATTTCTCTTGCTGTAGCAGGGCTGTTGTGCATAGCATTTCTCCTGCCTTTGTGTGTATGCCTCAGCGTCTGGCAGAAAAAGAAGCTACGCGCTGTCTTCAAGAAAAGTAAGTTAGATACACTCCGATTCCATTTTTGTTTTTCAATCTAGGCAGAAATCAGAAATTCATTTTTAAGTATCTTTTTAAAGCATGTTTAAAAAAACAGTTACAGATGATGATGTTTTTTTTTTTAATTTCCTCTGGAAGTCAGAAATAGTCATCTGGTTCAACCAACCCTGCTCACGCAGGGGAACACCCAGAGCAAGCAGGGAGATTCTGCAACCTCTGGGCAACCTGTGGCAGTGCTCCATCATCCTCACAGTGAAGAAATACTTCCTGATGTACAGACAGAGCCTTCTGTAGTCCAGTTAACGCTCATTGCCTCTTGTTCTGGCACTGGGCACCACTGAAAAGAACACACCTCTGTCTTCTTTGCACCCAAAGCTGGAGTCACGACTGCACTGTAGCAACAATCAGGACTTGCTGCTGCAGAGTTGCAGAGCCAGCTTGAAACCAGTACTGCCCTCCCAGGAGACACAAAAGTTCTGCACAAAGCTGTGGTGAATTGCATCTAACTTATTTTATCAGCTCTGGTATCAGCTCTACCTGCAGATACTTTTGTGTTTACAGTGAACTCTGCAGTACCCACATTACCTAAATTTTCCTATTATTTGAAGAACACTAATCTGTATTACCCCGGATATCGACTGTAATCATAGGTTAAGCTACAAGAAGAAAACATACTGCGTTTCCTTAGTTCCAAAGTAAGACTTTCTTCTCAGTCCTTTGCAGCCAGTGTTGGTTGGTAAAGACAAAAGATTTAAAAAACACATCTTAAATGAACAAAGGAAATTATAAAGGAGGCTCTGCTGCCTCCAGGAAATAGGACTCTGAAAGCTGCTGTTGAAGCTGACCACGTGCATAAATTTCTGACTGTTGTAATGTTACAGTTGAATGTTTTTTGTGTCCTCTGTGTAGCTCCAATGTGTGAATGCTGAGCCTTCATTGCCTCCTCTCAGCTCACTCACAGTATTTCTGTCACCACTTCTGACAAGTAACACGATTTCTGTACTTGGCACTTGAACGTACTTGGGTGTAGGTTCCTTATAAAATCTCGATCAGATAAGTATGTTTTTCATCTTGAACTCAAAGAAACGCACCAGGAGTTCAGACATAATGTGCTTTGCTATCTAAGCCAAGGGTTTAAGTAAGTATTAATTGGCTCTGGGTAATTTTTCATTTACTTTTAATAAGTATTCCTTGTCTTGGATAATATTTTAATACAAACACAGGATTCTAAAAGGACGTAAAAGAGCTCTAAAAGGTTGCAAGAGCTCCTTAGATCTTTTCCCAAAGGGAGAGCATACAATGCTCACAATTGCCAAAAGTCTACCTTTGAAGTTTGGCACAGTTCAGTGCTTTTTAGCCTCATAAGACAACATTCTGTTTAGATGGCATTTAGACCTTCCCTGCAGACTAGAACTGAGCAATTAGAGCAATGAAAATATGAAAGCTCAGCAAACACCACCTCTTCTCCATTTCACTGCTTCCTAGCTTTCTGCTGTATCCCTTGTTACATTGGTTGGAATATACTGTGGCAAACACAGCCCTGTCAGATTAGGGGAAACAAACTGAGAGAAATTTTCTCTTGGCAAACCACGATGCAGAGGAATAATTCCAAAGTAGATTATTGGATCAACTGGAAGATTTTTTCTTGCTGCCTTCCTCCAGTTGTGACTGAGGAAGGGTGAAACAGGGTGGCTGAATAAAAGCAATAGGAAGTGAACATCTGCTCTCTTTCTTCAGTGCAGACTACGCCTGAGCAGTCAGTCCAGGAAGAGACCTGCAGCTGCCGCTTCCCTGAGGAGGAACAAGGAGAAGATCAAGATTGTGGCAAATCCACAGAATTCAGAGACCTCTTGGAGAACTAAGAATTGGACTGTCCAGGTCACCCCTATTTGTTTCCTCTTAGAACACAACCTTTCAATTTGTGAATTTCAGAGTGCTAAGTAGTCCATTTAAGGAGAAAGCACATCTTTTCTAGCTTGTTGATTGTTATCTGGGACTAGGAATCATATTTCTAAGCAGTAGTAGTACTGCTGTGCTTAAAACCAAGGCCAGTATGGCATTCTGGCTCCTCTTATAAATGCTGCTTCAGCCATAACTTACACGAAGCCTGAAAGCATTCATCCCTAAAATGGAGATCTGTAGTGTGTAGGAGAGCTGTGTGTGCCACTCATGGTCTCTGCATTACTGTTGCCAGCTCTCCTCCTGAGTCTGGAGCTGCAGCTCCTCTCAAAGCATAGCTCAAACCCAGCAGTGTTGGGTTTCTTCTGCAAACACTTTCAGTTGCCAGCAGCCATGGAAACAGATCTGGCCTGACCACCACACAGCCTCTTATGTCAGAGACAGGAAAATGTAAAAAAAAAAAATCTAGAGCTGCAAAGTTTTTTTCTAACAGCTTGTACCTGCTGTCGTAGTGCAGAGATTGCCTTAATAGAGGCAGTGGAAACACTGAGAAAAGCTGTGGTTGACTTGCTCTTAGGAAGGGATGTTTCTGCGCACTTAGACTGCAACACCTCAGTCCTACATCATTCAGCTTTCATCTTTTGGGTGATGTAAATGTGTTGCAGATGAGGTATATGTAGAACGTGATACATTTCTGGTACTATTTCTGTTCCTCTAAGGATGGAAAGATTTTAACCTCAGACAGTGTATCTGTCTTTCTGATCAAGTGCTGTTACTTTGGTCTAAAAGAGAAAAGAAAATGCTGGCAGTGACAGCATTTTTAACCTTTTTCAGAGCCAAATATTTTATTTCTTCAGTAAACGTTATTTAAAAATAGAATTTAAACCTATCAACATGCAGGTAAAGGGTGATTTTCGTAATTTCAGTAATGTAATCTTTATGTAATTTCAGTTTTGAAAAAAATACAGTTGTCTGAAGAATGACTGCTTATGCATCTATTAGCACAAAATTAAGATTTTTTTACATAGTAATTTTAATAAACCTACTGTTTTGTAACTTTTTTGTAACTTCTTCTGTATATTAGACAGTAAGTACAGAAACCTGAATTCCAAAGTTAAGTATATGTAAATAAATAATTTGTTTCGAAGCCCTGGAGTCCAAGTCTCCTTTCCTTGAGTCTTTTTTTCTTATAAATAAAGTCAAATTCACAAACTGAAGGAGAGGGGAAGGAATAGGAAAACTCACCAATAGTTATAGACATCTTAGAATAGGATAAAATAGTTCTGCCTGTGATTAGTTTACAATTCACACATTAAGGATGAGAATTAATGTACACACGTTGTAACAAATCAACGTACCTTATGTTTCCTCCTAGGAAAGAAAGGCAGCAGTTAGACTTTCGTATTTTGCCACTGCATTTTGCACATCAATTTGCAAATTTCATTGCATCCTCTAAAAGCAGTTTTCTTCACTTAAAGGTCTCAGCGAAGATAATAATTTATTCAGCAATTAAGAATGACTGGTGTGAAGTGCCTTGGGCTGAACATGACAGTTGATTCTGATTAGAGCAGTCCACCTTTCTGGACCATTCAGGTCCATATCTGAAGTAGTATCACGAGACATTTCTGCCTCTGGAACCATTGCAGGAATAAGTTCAAAAAAATTCACATTTTCTTCTCCTATACAGAAGAATTCCAGAGCCAAACAGCAACATAAACAAGACAGTTATTGCTTACCCAACAGCCTTAATCTGAAACTTAATTCCCATTTAGTCACATCCTATAACTTATAAGTCTCCTGACTGGCAAAAACATTACCACTCACTACTTGGCTCTTTAGAATCATCTCTGCAGTCACAGTACTTCTTACTGCTCTAAACAACTCCGGTTTGTTCCTCTCTTTTTGATGCTCACGTGCACCTTGGCTGCACATGTAGCCTTTTCTTCAAAACATCTGAATAAACTTATCAGCTGAAAGAAGTGCAGACAGTCCTAACACTGAGCTGTAACTCAGAGAGTTTCTGTTTCGTTGTCTGTGACTGTTTCTTTTCTCAAGTCTTTTTAATTTATTGTGTAGTGAACAAAAAGGAATTGGGAATTCCATGATGATTCTTGAGCAGCCCCATTTGGCTGAAGATGAGGTAAGGTGCCATGCCAGATGTAAGCATTTCACATTTCCATTTGTTTTTCTTGGAAGTCAGGAAGGGCTCTTCTAGCCAGACTGTGTGTGGAGGCCCTGGTGATGTCAGACCAGAAGTTTAAAGGCATGGAAAAAGGAGACAGGTGCTCTTGAAAGATAAGTTTAAGCAGGGAATCGTGCTGCTTTTTTATTGCTTGCAGAACCAGTCCCATTTCCTGGCACAGTTCCTGGCATCACTACTGAACACTCTGGTTGTCAGATATCTTGACCTCATAGTCCCCTGCAAGAGTTGTGTGGCTAAGGGAAGCAAAAGGATTGCTGTCCCTCACGCCCTCCATTCCACAGACAGGTCAACAACACCAGGACACACCAGTGTGTTTCCATGCCTGATACATCTGGGGAGAGACTCTGAATTGTAACAGGTGCTCTTACCCACACAAACATATATCACTTCAAAATGCATATTATGAGTTCCTAATTTCAGCCCTTTATCAGGTCTTTTATGCCTCACCCTAGCAACAAGCATCTCTTGCTCACCATAAGGGCCACCTCCTTCCACTTCAATTTACCATCCTTCAATTGCACATCTACTTCCAATGGGAAAAACAAGACCTACTGTTCAGTGAGTACAGACACTGTATAAAATCTCCCAGAAAATCCCTTCATGTCTGACATGGTGTCACACTCAGGATTCCAAACAGAATCAATGCTATTTGAATCATACAAGACACAGGATGCTCTCTTGTATAGTGCATTCCCCAAATAAAGTTCTTCAGTACTCTGCTAAAAATGAAGTCATCTTTGACTAATTGCATAGCATTCTCCATAAGAAATGATCCACTCTGATCATTTTCATTTCATTCATTTCATTTTTTCTGAGATCTAACTCAGAGAAATGATTATTAAACAATTAACTTGTAGCCCACCCCTTGCAGTTTAAGCAAGTCACAAGAAGTGGAGATAATTTTCACTTAAATACACGAAGTCTTATTCTGTCAATAAGCATTACCTCCTATTTTCTCTCTCAGAAGCATCCCCGATACAGATGCCTTCTGCAGAACCTGTCACAGAAGCACTCTGTCCCTCAGGATATTTGTGCAGATGTTTTTGTTTTGTTAGCTGTGTATCACAGATGCTGAAGCATCCTTCTGTCCCTGGAACTGGCATGGACAAGGCTGCTGGATGCCCTCACTGTAAATAAAGAGCTTCTAACAGTCGACAGATGAAATGGAAATTCCTTCTAACCTCAACGTGGCAAGAGTTAGTTATGATATCACCTACTATGTTTCCATTCACCTTCTATCTCCAGGATGCCTGCCAGTTAAAGCAACAGATCTACCTGCAATACTACAGAAAACCATTTTATTGTAGTGGAAAGGAAAACCGGCTCAAAATCCATTGAAACCAATGCAAGTATCTCCTGTTTGCATTAAGAAAATAAATCAGTTATTATTCGATGAACCAAGTGCAAAACCCCACACAAACACACCTACATCAATTTAAGGATTATTTAGTGTGACTTCAGCCTGTTAAAGCTTCTCTTGGTTTACATAATCTGAACTGAAACAATCCCTTTCAAAACCGTAATGAAATCTCAAGCCACCCATTTAAGTCAGTCTGAAACCAAACCTTAGGTTATGTTGCCAGCTCTGCTCCTGCACGCGTTTCAGCAGGCTTAGAACAAAGCTACTGCAGAAGGTGAACAGAGGTGAAAGAGACTGCATTTATCTACAGCATGTATCTTAAATTCCTTCTCATATTTACAACACCGAAGTTTTGGTTGATCTATTTAGAACTATAAACCATTCAATCTGAAAGAGAATGCTACACTGGCCTGTAAACAGACAAAAGCAGCACTGCACTACTGTTACTCAGTATGGAGAATTTGTAGACATCTTAAAACAACTTTGAAAGAGTAGAACAGAATCCTATAAGAATTATACATCAGTGTCTAAACCAGAGCTTAATTAAACATCTGAAGTACAATATTTCTCCTCAAACTAGAATGGAAAATAGAGTGAAAAGGTACATGAAAGTAATGACGGGGAAAAACTATTTTACTCCAAAAGAGCTGCAGCATTGCAGTTCAGCACCACAGATGTCTCATCAAGCTGGAATTGCATCAGAAAGTCAAAGATTGATTTATTTATTATGATTCACACTGGTACTGTTACAGCCAGTCATAACAATGGATCTTTGCCACCGTACGCTTCAATAAATACATTACCTTGTACCAGTACAGGTGTAAGTGACCACAGAAAGCGCTTGAAGGTTCACTCAAAACACAGATTTCAGTTTTAGTAAGTAGAAAAGAAGCCAATCTCTTCCTCAGGGAGGGAATTTAAGGATTTAGAAATCCAAGCAGGCATTGCACCCAAGAAGCCCTCAGACACAGAAATAACCTCCTGTCATTACAGCTCAGGAACTTCCTGCACTCACCAGCAGCACAGCCTACGACCACACTGCTCGTGTGGATGAGGCTGGAACATACAGCACAGTAATTATGCCTCAGAATCCAGGGGCAGGTAAGGGATCGCTGTGCTGCGGCAGCACAAATCATACTACCCTCCATCATTCCTGCTGCAAGTGTTATCTGTTATTTGAAAAACTGGAATCCATCTCTCAGACAGCAAAGAGAAGCTCCTGCGTGGCTGACTGCCAAGGAATGGGCATTCATTTGCACAGTAACCTTGAAAGAACTGCTTTAAACCTCAAGTTGCTCGGTAAGACCTATGCCAACTTTCCCCTTGTTAAATACACACATTTGTCCTGAGATGTGAATCACTGAGTCTGCAAAGATTCCATTTAATTAACAAAAAAAATTAAGGATTAAAGGGATTATGCAATTGGAAAGAAAACAACAAAAAAAAAAAATTGTATGAGACATTCATTTACTGCCTACGCTAAGTAGGACAGAAAAATGCCAACAATTAGGAGACCTCCTTCATTAGTCAGTAGCTCTTGGCCAAGCACTGATCTGATGCCTGAAATTTGTCCTCTAATCTCAGTTGCAGGAGAAATAAAAGCTATAGTATTCCGCAAAAAAAGTTTGACCAGAGAGTTTGATTCTGCGCCTCTATCAACAACATTGCTGTGTACAGCAAATAACCCAAAAAGAAAAATAAAGCAGGACGGCTCTGATGGAATTGCTGTTATTCTGTCCCCTCAGCAGGTTCCAGCCCCCACCTGCCTGCTGCTTAGATAACGGATCAACGCCATCTCCAAAGACTCCCAGACGTTAATTCTGCACCCCGTTGCTGTCAGAAACTCAACCTCGGGGGCTCCACGCCTCTTCAGAAGGTTTCTCAGCGCCATCTCCTGGGGCAGCAATTTCATTATCACTGCTTTTTTATCCAGTAAGGGACAAAGCCCAAAGTTTATTTAGCTCAATTTAGAAAACCAAACAGATGAATGTGCTCGCCTATCCCAGTTCAGTCCCAACAGTTCTCTCCCCTCTCAGTTCTCACACCAGGAAATTACTGGTGCACCGTTTCTAGGATCAGAACCAACCTGAATTGCACTGCGATACTGGAAAGACTCCAAAAAGTCAGTTATTACAACACGTCCCAGAACACTTCAAGGAAGCCCAACCTGGACACACTAATGGGTTGCAGCAACACTGCAGAAGTAAACACACATCTCAAAAGAACACAAGCCCAAAGCCCAGCCCTCCACCTGGTCTGAAAAAGGAGGACAGTTGCGGGCAGTCATTGACCTGCAGCCTTACAGCAGACTGCCTTGTCCTACATTCTGTGCAGTGCTGACCAGGTAGGGAGAAAGGCTGGGAGAGTTCCATTGTGCAGAAAGGTTCCTTACAGTGCCTGTTCTCATCGCTTCAGGTTTAAAAATGATCTGTAATGGCATCGTCAGTTCCATTACATCTTTTGTGGAACAAACCCTATTTCAGGCTCTGGTCACTGTTCCTCTGTTTGGGACTGCGTTACCCAGAGTTCAATTCCCATGAGATACTGATGTGCTGCATTTCCAAACCCCGGTCACGCCAGACTTATTTTCCTTCATGCCAAACTGTAGTGTGCTAATTCTGCAGTACTGAGAGGATAAGGGAGTTAAGGACCAGTTTGTCAAGCCTGACTTGGAGAATATACCCAGACTACAGTGTGCCAGCCCAGCAGGGGAGGAAAAAAAAAAAAAAAGAAAAAAGTTTTTTTTCTTCCCAAAGTGGTGGAAACTATACTAACCAAGAAGCGATGTTTTAGCAGCTGTGATCTTGTAGCAGACTTAGTTTCTGGACCACTTGCCAATTCCACAGAGAAACAGACTATCTTCAGAAAGGTCTGCAGGCCTCCCACCTTCATTTACCGCAAAGGCACACAGTTACGCACACATACTCACTTCTGCAAACCCTTTGGCCCATCACAGAACAAGAAAACGCCCAGGTCAGAACCTCTGAGATCTTAAGAAACAAACAAAAAACTTGGAGAGAATTTCAGAAGACAGAAGCACTGCTGTGCACACCAAGCACTCCACATTGCAGTTCCTACTGCATGTGCCACATCACAGTTTGCACAGTGGGCAAAAGGAGCACCTTCAAAAAAGGATGCTGGCCACATGTGGCTAAGGTACGGTTATTTTGTTGCCATGCAATAATCACGTAACAAAGCTGAATAATAACCACAACAGGAAATACAAATTTTAAGTGGTTATGAGGACAAAAATTCACTAAAACCCTGGGCAGGCTGATCTGATGGGGGGCAACCAGCCCATGGCAGTGTTTGGAACCAGCTGTGCTTCAAGATCCCTTCCAACTCAACCATTCTATGATTTTATTATAAGCTCATCTGCTATTACAATTCCAATATAAAAACGTTGTACTGCACGCCTATCTTCCTACACACTAAATGCAAGCCAGAAAAATCACAGAGTTCCATATCCCAGCAGCAGCTCCTCACACAAGCACTGCAGCTCAGTCACAAGTTGTCTCATCTGAAGTTCCTCCTCACCACCTGCCACACTACTTGACGTATCTTGTGCTGACTTAGCACAAAGCAGCTTAAAACAGGTGAAAGATCTTTTGCATTACTGATCAGATTTCAATCTCAATGCTCAACTCAGAAGGTGGACAGCTGGCAGTTTTTCCCATTTTCTCCTCCCTTGACTGGCAGTTTATTTTTCATGAGTCATCACTTTAAATCAAGAATAGTTGTTTCTTCTGATAATTCAGGACAACTTGTTTAATGCTAGGTTAATCTGCATTTACTATTCTTTGTTTGTTCAGTAACGTATTCCCATTCCTGCTGCTCTGTTACATTAAACCAAAGCAAGTGAAAGCCAATTAACAGAAACAAGAACTAACAAAAAGGTTGTTGTGTTTTTTTTTTTTTTTTTTTTTAAAAAGGCACCTTTGATAAAATTTAAAAAAGTTCTCTACAGATCAGTCCTTAATTTTTTTTTTTATTAAATACAATTCCCGTTTCCTTCCTTCACCCATGGATTCAGGGTTTTGTACCTTTATTTGGGATGAGCTGTTTCTTCACTTTGCATCATGACGTGTGCTCCGTCCCCTCAGGAAAATGCCTTTGACATTTTGGTAGGGGAAAGAATGTTTAAGTGACAGCTTCAAAGCTGAGTAAAGGCAATAAGCCGTGGGCAAGCTGCCCAACTTCTACATGACGCACTTCATGATCGCCCTAAGAGGCTGAGTCTTCCTTGTGAGAAGACAAAGGACAGAAGCTGCTTGTGAAGAATGCTTCATTAGCTTTCCTTGGAGGATGCTCAGAGTGAATATTGATAATGCCGTTGTCATTGATAGTTCACTGAAGGAGAAGCATTTGTACAGAGCATCCAGCACCAACTGTGAGATCACGCATCAGATCAAACCTAATTACTGTCTGCAGTTTTGGAACAAAGAGTTACATGACTCATGAGGAGAGAGAATTCCTCTCTACTTCTCTCGTAGGAGAGCAAAGGGAGAGAGGCACATAAAACATATTAGGATAATTCTGTAGGGGAATTCTTTTCCCACATTCACTGACTTCAGCAAAGTCCACCACAGCAGGTTTTATAGCTACAGAACGCACACCACAGGTGTGCAAAGTCAACACCGAACCCGTCTGTACACAAAGGACAGTAGTGAAGTTCAATGAGAAAGGACCACTGAAGTCCTCCTCTACCCCACTGCCTTTGTACTCAAAGCATTGGAACTTATGGGGTGACGCTGATTTTAAAACAGTTACGTGGCTCCTAGAATTTACAATTAAAAAATGAATCTTCAAAAGGAAATGTTAAGAAAAAAGGAAGTAGATAAATTCATTTCTTGTGTAACTTAGAAAGAATAACAGTAGCAGTAGTTAGATTTCACAGTATTTGGAAGAGTATTTGAAAGCACAAGCGTTTTATATGAAAGGCAGGGAGAGAAATTAATGAACTGCTATTATAAGTCTGAACAGATTTTTTTTTCCCCCCATTTTAGGAAAATCATCATAAAGTTCCTTTTTAGTTTGAAGTTTCTAGACAGATAGGATGCTTCATGAGGAATGAGGATGAGGGACCAGACCAGTGAGTTCTTCCTCTGATATTAAAAAAAAAGAAATTCTAAGTAGAGAAGGCAAAATATGCTAGATGGAAGGAAAGAGACTAGCCTTATGAGGTTATGTATTACATGTGGCAGCTACTGCATTTACTTTACAGGCAAAATGCAAACTGGAAAAGCAGCTATCTGGTATGCACAGAATAAATAAGTTACTTCCAAGTGAAGGAAGCAGAAGATGAAGCAGAATGGAGAAAGGACTCCCAGTCTAGGGAGGGACCCGAGTTTAATATCAACCAAGGTAGTTTATACATATCAAGTAAGTTTCCACATAGAAGCTCTACTTTCTCTGCCAAGATGAATCTCCAGGGCTACACTGGATAAAGTCATCTCAAACAAAACGAAAAGCTACAAGAAAGAAACCAGCCCCTTCCACTTTCATTCTCTTTGTGAATGAACTAGATGCTTTAACTCCGCTTCCCTTTCGCATCATCTGGCGCAAGAACCCCAAAAACGATACATCCATCTATTTCACAAGAGAGAAAAAAAAGAGTATTTCATATCAGATGCTTTGCGTCAAGCCTGCTATGGCTCATAAATCTTACTGCCCTGGTCATTTCAGCCAACGTCTGACCCTTTTGTTAACTCATGATTTATAACTGGAAGTTATTTTCTTTATGCCAGATTTATAAACTTTACTGTGCTTGGTTTGATATAATATCCATTTCGTACATCAAGCTATACGACAGTAAATTTATTGTCCATGAGGTGTTACCTTGAAAAATTACATCAATGCAAAGTGGTTTCCATTTACAATCAATAGACAATAAATTCATTGGATTTCTTTTTTTTGGGGGGAGGGAGAGAAGGGGTATGACCATATTTATGAGGTCATGAGTGGCTATATAATGAGTGAAACAGGGAGCAGAGGCAGCAGTCTGGAGTTCCGAATTACAGGCGTTGACAAGACGAAATATATTCAACGGAGCAACAATGCATAAGCTGGTATTCTGCTGTCTCATTATCATCAGCTTCTCCTGTCCTCTCTTCTCTCTCCCTGTCATCAATGCCAGTGAGATGTCCTATCAACTCCCAGGTAAGCCCTTCGGATTTAGCGCTCATAAGAGAGCAAACGGAACGCGAGAACCAGAGCAGCAGCAGGTATACTTTCAGAGGGGGTCTTTATCTGTGCCAGTCAGCTGGATAAAAAGCAGGAATGACTTCAGAACACTGGCCACAAGTAATATCACTGGTGGGCAGCAGTTCTGTAAAACGGGCATTTTGGTGGGTGCTTTTACATATTTCTTCCTGCTGCTTTTAAATCTAAGGGGCAATATAATTGAGACTTGCAGTGAATGAGCGTGAGCTGGCAGATGCTGCATCTCTGAAGCAACATTAGTAGACATTAGGTAATTTACAGAAACTTGGCTGAATGGCACTTGCTGCACTTTAAAGTGAACTATGCTTAACTGAAGTTGCATTTTTAAGGGGGTAAACCCACTACAAGGATTAATGCATTCCTACTCACATCAAGTGCAGGCAAACCTGACTTAAAGTACAAACATAGCACTGTATTGAGCATGATTTTGTACTAAGCATCATGACTTCTGCCTGCACTAATGCAGACTCCACTCCACGCTGTGAAAGAATAAATCTTTGCTTGAAAAAGCTGTTCTCAAAGTTTGAAGTCATACTGTAAGCCAGAGTAAGATGTATCATTGAACTGCATGCAGTGCCTACAGGGTTATCCTTATCAGACCTGACCTGTGCTGGACGCATTGCTGAAATGAGCTCTGAAAGAACAGGCAGTTCTAAAACAGAACTCCTTCACAAGGCTAGATACAAAAAGGCTCCTGTAACATAACAGCTCTGCAGGTGAAAGGTGCAGGTGTTGTTGGTTTATAGGTATCCATCCATCACCCCTAGTTGGCTGTGTATAACTTGGACTCACTAAGCCAGCATCTTCTCAAACATTCCACAAAATAATTTGCCATTTACCAGCAGCCATGACTTAGTATGGACAGCATCTATCTTATCATAAAATGAACCAGCTAACTAACCATTCATCTTCAAACAACTGTGCTGGATATACCCGTTAGGCTAATTAAATCTTCCTTGTAAACACAAAGAGTAATACAAGAGGGTAAGATAGGAGTGGAGCTCTCTAAAGACTGTTTGTTTTGTTTGTTTTAAATCTCAAAGCAACACCACCTGTTGACACTGCTCTGAATTGAAAAACAGTATGGGGATATGCATACAAACTTCTCTCTGCACAGAAAAGGGAACTTACATTATTCAGTCAGTCCTACACTGCAACCCCCACCATGCTCTGTAAGTGCCCTGACCAACTAAGCCTGCACATCAAAGGTTTGCAAACATCTTCATAACAGACAACATTGAAATGTTGGGGAATTATTTGCAGTGTTTTTTCTTGTATATAGATCACACAAAGAAGCTACAGTTTCACATCTGCACAGGTAAAAGCAACAGAATAATCCAGAAATGCAACTAAAAAAACAACACAATTAAGAGTTTTGCAATAGCTCTCTCTCAGCATCCATTATTTTGAATAGCTGCTGTTAATTAGCAGAGAAGTTTACTGTTAACTGAAGTGCAGAACCATTAAGGGCTCCTGTTTGCAGCCTACCTTGGGGTAACAGGTTAGTTACAGAACTACAAATTCTCTATTCACATCCAAACAATTCCATCAGGTATCACCAACCCTACTTTCAGAAAGAGTAATATCAGTACTGGTACACACTTTGACTGAGAGACAAGAGAAACAAACCAGGAAGTACACCTGCCAAAATCTCCTTTAAGATTCCCAACATTTATTCCTGTCCTTTCCCCCATTTTATTGCACTTTAAAGGTGGCAAATAGAGTAAGTTAATAAGCCTCCAACAGTAAAATTAGTCTTCAGTCACAGAAATGCTCCAGTGGAGGAACTCATTTGTAAAGGAATTCAGATATAAACCAACCAAAAAAAAAAAAACAAACAACCCACACAAATCTAGCTACTCCCTCTAACATCCATTAAATGACAATGGGTGATTTATGATTTTAAGATCCTTTTCAATAGATGGAGCTAACTTACCTGCTTGGAAATCATCTGAAATGGAATGAAACTGGAATTAAAGGTATAAGGCCTCCATCAAACAACCACTTCCCATCTTCCTCTTGCAGATGATGAAGATTCGAGGCTAAATTTGGAGCAGCTGGGCAGCTCAGAAAGTACCTTCCTGCCTCAGTTTCTGCAGGAGCTCTTGGGCACACTGGTTGAAGACAATAAGGCAGGTGAGGCTTTGCCAAAGCACCTTGCATCAGGGTGCCAACAGTTTACACATCCACCAGTCACAGCAGACACACGTAGGTCCACTATTTATAAACAACAAAACATTTTGCCTCCTCTCTCCCAGGTCTTACCTCCAGCAGCTACAATCCAAGGAAAGATATCAAAGAGGTAAGTAAATAACCGTTTGCTAAATTAAGACCCCATGTTTTAAACTATGTGGGCTTGTTACAAAGACACCGCTTAAGATCCACAGATTTAACACAGTAGGCTAACATGCGCCACGACATTCTCGAAGCTGGAATCACTGGGCAGTTAGGTTTGCAGGGGAAAAAGAGAACAAAAACAAATTTAGGAAAAAAAAATAATCTGAGCATTTCATGCAAATAAATCCAATGTGTCTCCCTAGTAAATCAACTTCGTAAATGAAGGCCAGTACCCAACTTCAGCAGGCCTGCCCTGCACGTCAACTGGCATAAGCCATGCATCCTTTTCCCCCCAATGCAGCACAAGCCATGCAATATTATCAGAGCTGCTATCAGCCAGTAGGTAAATTGAGAACATCCTTTCTGCTTGACTGAAGATGTAGACTGTTTTAAGTACATCATCTAAACCTGAGGGGTAGTGAAGAGTATGGTTTCTCAATGGGAACATTAAGCAGCCACCAGTAACCTGTCTGTCTCTGTTTGACTTCAGACTTTCTATGGAAATCACCCACGAATTGCTCTGCTGGGCCGCTTGCTGATGAAGGACAGGAAGCAGTACAAGAAACGTGGCAACCTTTCTGAATGCTTCTGGAAATACTGTGTGTAAACAGAACAAGCCTCCCCTGACTTCAGCTGCATAATTTATATATATGTCTAAAACCATGTACATAAACTTGCTTGATTTGAAATCAGAAGGAAGAAATTTGAAGATAGCTCCTAACTTCAGACACTACTTGGAAATTAATAAATGGTTGATGTTTTGCAAATATTCTGTGAGCAGAGTAATATTTTCTTAGAGTTCAGCACAACAGGATGAAAGTAACAGTACAAAATGAAGGGTACGTGATGAGAACTCAGGCAGAAGCATGATTCTCATGGAGTCCCATGAAACATCCCTTTTTTTTTTTTTTTTTTTTTTTTTTTTTTTCCCCCCTCAAAAGTGGCCTTAACTGCGTATAAGAGGAGCTTCTCCTTCATAATTTGATCCCTTGATGCAATTGGAAGTGCTGGGGAGGGCAGGCTCTGATAATGCTAGTGAAGGACAGCAGCACAGGTGGTACCCAGTCCCCTCCTGTCATTCCTGAGGCACCCTTACAAAATAAGCACATGTCAGGATCAAGCGTCTATTCCTACAGCCTCTGGAAATATCACTCACAAATACAGTTTGACCATGTCTGTTTCTCTGCAGCACCTTGACCAGCCCCAGCTGCTTAAGACAACAGAATTACCAGTGCATAACAAAAGCTTTGCTAACTGTAGCTGAAAATGATCAAATACAGCAGAATGTAAACAGTAATGCTGTCAATAACAGGACTTTGAACTCAGTGCAAACTGTCAGTGGAGAATGAGAATGAGATGACTTGACAGCAGAATTCCAGTACCCAAAGATAGTGAAGAAAAACTACTGAAAAGCTTAAACAAGCCCATTACAGATGTTCATAGAGAGAATGATAAACTAGGTCTCTTCTGATCAGAGTGGTGGGCACGAAAAGGGCTCCCCAGGGTAGGTGCCACAGCACCAAGACTCCTGGATTCAAGAAGCATTACGGACAGTGCTCTCAGACACAGGGTATGAGTTCTGAGTGGCCCTGCAAGGAGCCAGAGGTTGCATCTGATCCCCGAGGGTCCCTTCCAACATGAGACATTCTAAGATTCCTTTGTTTCCTGAACCCTAGCACACTTTATCTCAGTCCCAGGTACACCCTGATAGTGTTTGCAATGAATAAAGCTAGAGACTCAAGAACTGTCTCCAGGCAATATCAGTCTTCATGATACACACCAATAGTTTGAGCTGCAAAGTCCTACTTCGTTCACTTTGTACTTCGCATAAACCCCACACTAATCAAGGTTCAGAAAGCTTGAATTAAACTTTGCCTAAGATACATATAACTGAGATCAATGTAGCACATACCTCATAAATCTCCACCTGTTCTGCCTAAACAAGGCCTACAGGCTCGATATAACTCGTTCACATCAGATAAGTCATAAGATAGATGAAGCCAGCTGTAACAAAGAAAAATGTCCTCACGAATGCAGAGTAGCTGGATGCACTGCATAGTACATAGGCACATCAAGCCTTCTGAACATTTGTCTTCCTCTTACACAGTGCAGCAAGGCAATGTCTGACTGGAAATTACTCCTTCCCTGCCACCTCATCAGTCAATAAAAACCTGTAGGAAAAGGCTTCAAATTTATCTAAATGAATAACTATTGAAGATTTATCTCAGAGGCAGGAAAAGGTGTCCAGCTTATGAAGTCTTGAAGAAAAACAACTGTTAAAGCCTCTTCCAAAATGGCAAACAAACTAAATAAAATAATGAAGTGAAAAAACAAGCACTGCAAGTTATCTCCAGTGTCTGAGACCAGGGAGCCTGCCCAGCTCTTAACAGAGAAGCAGCAAACAGCTTCTCCCCAGTGCTGCTGTAACTACAGCTCTCAACAGCTTCCACCTCAGGCTTTCCTCCCCACAGGAGTGCAGGAAGAGCACTCAAGCCAAACTGATCACTTCTGATCAGCAAATTGTTTCTCTGCAATTAAGAGCTTTCTTGCTCGAGGAGACACATCTGTGATAACCCACGAACTGCTTCTGTTTTCTCTACAACACAATTTTTAGCATGGTGAGGCTCAAGTGCTCTCACAGTGTTTATTTACTCTTCTCTAACAAACTCAGGGAGAGACAGAAGCTTTCAACCGTGCACACCAAAGCTGAGCACTTCATACATCCAGCAATAATCCTTCGCAGTCAGTGTTTGTGCCCTTCTAGCTGGGATGCGTACAGAAACAAAACAGCATATCCTGGAAAACAACGCACAAAAAGTACAACAAAAAGCCAACAGCATAAATAGCAATGGGGATCATTTTCACTGCACCTACAAAATACTGAACATTCCAGAAATTACCCAATAACAAAAGCAAACATGCTTCAAAAAGTTACTGGATGTTTTTTTGTTTTGTTTATAAAAACAGATGTCCTTCCAGGTTGTACAGTGAAAAATCACAACCGCAAATTAAACCTCAGCTGAATAATACTTCAGTGAAATATTCTTATCGACTAATGCAAGTATTCATTCAATTGTGATTTAAAATTGATTCAGCTGGAGGATAAACTCACCAATACATTCATCACACGCTGCAAAAAAAAACACTGGGGTCCCCCTTCTGTTCATACCAATGCCATGCTGCATCTGCACAGCAATTAGCTTATTTTAAACATAAAACTAATTTTGAACAGGAAAAAAAGCAGCCTGCTTAATCCAAACTGCTGAAACCCCCACAGGAGGCAGAACTGTGACATTGCTGTACTTGAGTTTATCCCATTTGGTGACTAAAAACTAGAACTTTGAGAAGCTTTAAACTGCCTCTAGTATTTTAACTGTATCAGCCAAAACGAAGTCACACAAAACAGTGCACATCTGGCTGCAGTATTTACTCCGTCGCTCTTCCAGATCACAACTGTGTTTCACTGTGACTACTTCAGCAGGCTACGAAGAGTGAAAAGCTGACATCAGCTGAAGTAAAAACCATCAGCTCCTAAAAGCTTACAGAAACAAGGTCCTTTCCAAGAGGCCTGATAAGGCATTTTGTTGCTAGATGTTGCTGTTTCAATGGGGTAAAGAACAGCTTGGAAAACTGTTTTTTGTCTTAAATTCAGTTTTGCAGATAAGACTGTGTTCCTGAGCAAACGATTCAGTGTCATTATCCCACAAGGCACCCATTCACCACTTGGTTTCTCTTAAAGAGTCTTGCACCTAAGCTTGAGCCAGGATTATGTGCTTCGTATTTAAACTCCAAGGCTCGTGCTCCTGCACTGCACGTGATGACAGTGGGCTATAGTGGTCACACCACTGTAAAAACTGCCCATGATTTCAGCTTCTGTATGGATCTACTGAGCACAGGTTCATGCAATAGTCAGCACAGGAAGGGTTAACATTCTCCAAGAAGAAACGCTATAATAACAGCTTGCGTGTCCAGGTGAGAATCTTGACCATTTACAGCAAAGACAGCACTGCACAGAGTGAACCAAGATCCCTCACCACACTCCTGGGTTTGTATGAAGTGGGGCTGTGGACCTGTGCACGCCCTTCGTGCCTCTGCCTCTCTTCATACAAGAGGGATAAGGACACATCCCCAGACCTATGAATTAAAGGGATTATTCAAGTTATTAGGACTAAGTTATCATTATCCAAGTCTCGTTCTTTCATAAAACAGATGTCTTAGCATTATAACTAATCCCACTTTTCTTCTGGCTTACACATTTAAACTCTCCTGAAGGACATAAATGGCCTTATTTGGAATATTCATTTCACTGTGTGAAACAGATTATTTCACTAAGCCTCAAACCATATTAAAGCAGTGAATTTAAGTACAGCTAACCAGAACTGATTCAATTAAGTTAATAAGTTAGTTAAGAACCTTCCCTGCTAGGGAAATAACCCATACAAAAAGCATCTTACTACAGGTTTTAGAGCACGTTTCAGGCAGGGAGGTTATAAAACCCACATTCCATGCTTGGAAAGTGCTGAAAGTAAAAATATGGGTAAGGTACCACACTTACTGTGCAAGTTGGGGACTTTCCTACAAGTGTATAACTTTCTATATGTGAGCATCTATTGAGGATTCTTATTTTAAAAAGCATTTAAACTTCAAGCACATGAGATACTGAGAATGCATGAATCTTTGCTGATTTACAACAGTTAAGAAAGAAAAGCCCAAGATGAAAACCAAAGAAGTGCAGCTTAAGAATAAAGAGAAAGCGGAATATATAAACAAAATGAGCAGAAATACTGTAAAAAACAACACTGCCCGAGTCGAAATAGTCTTGAATACTTAAAATACAATAAAAATAACATTCCATGAAATAAGCTTCAGTGACAAAGATCTCCACTGAATTGATTAGAAAAATAGAAAAAGCCTATAGGTAAGTTTAAATTTCTTCCACTTACCTAAAGTCAAAGTATTATTTAACTTACTCAACAAGTAGCTCATTAGTAAATAAAACTGAAAACCTTTCATATAACAGATGAGTTACATCACACAAAAAGCTGAAAAACAAGATTCAAAAAATACTTGTGAGAAGCATAAGGAATAGCTTTGCTCTTTTTCACTTTAGTTTATTGGACTTCTTTGATGGTCACAAGCTGAAGAAAGGTATTTTGATGCCCAGTAACTTACCCAGTTTTCAGTCACTCATTAAAAGGCTACGGTATTCTGCAGAACTTAAAGCCTCAAAGCATCTTCTGAACCCCTAGTTTACATCTTTGCAGACTGAATAAACAAAATTGAAGGATGTTCTGATGTAGCTCAGATTCACTGGTACAAATACATCTACCTCGATGGACAACAAACAGGGCTGTGCCAATGTAAGCTCATAACCACTGCATCTTTTCAAGCCCTTACCTGTTCAGTTAAAAAAAAAACCCAAAAAACAGTACAGCACCACCACAACACAAAAAAATCTTTATATTTTGCTCAGCACTGAGCAATCAGAAGTTAGAAACAATCCATCCACGATCACTCGTTCTTGTCAAGTTGTCCTTCCTGACATCACAAACAACCTCCTAGTGAAAGATTGCCTTCAAAATCCTGCCAGGAGCAAAAGGGAGTAATGGAGAAAGGTTTAGTTTCGTGTATGATTGCTCATGGTGGGAGAAGACAGCTGGAGAGATTTGCTGCTAGCATCTTGCAAAGCCAAAGGAAAAGGGAATGGGAATTATTCCAACCAGTTTTACTGTCACAGGCAGGGATGTCTTCAGTGTTCCAAGACTGGAAGCGATTTTCCCTTGTTTTCCATATTGTCATCAGCCATTGCAGCCTCACAAGTTGCTTCCCTGATGTCACACGTTACACATCCCTTTAGAAAGGAACAAGGACATATCATTTAAATTCCCTGGATATTGCAAAGAATCCATCCTGGTAGCACGATATGCTGCAATCTCTTGAAATTTCTCGAGAATTGAATGAAATCTCTTTAAAAAAGCAGAGACCATACAGAGACTTTAATTTTCAGAGGCATGTACTTGCACTTCCAACACTTAGCTAGTATTCTCAAGCCTTCCAGCATTCACAAGTAACAGCTATCAGTGACCCTCATGCTGTAAAAATCACATTAGCTGGAAGCAGCACTACCTCTAGCTAGCCAAGACGTGAATAAGCAGCTGATTCCTTCCACAATCCTTACTTGAGTGTTGATTTGTAGTGGGACAGTCTGTGTCCGGAGCCACGTGTGCACTTCTGCAAGCTCCCTCTTTTGCCTATCTGAAAACCAAGGCTGTTGCTGTCGCATGACTACCAGCTTCTCCATATCCTCTTTTAAAACTTCCTCTTTAATTCTGTAAAACAAAACGAACCACAGACACCTGTTAACGCAGCTGCACTGAATACAACGAGGCAAGCATTGCTGATATTGACCGTGGGATACAGCTGTGTGTAAGGCTGAAGTCAGCCAATGAAAAGTAACTGTTTTGTTATACCTTCTTTTAGTTGGGAAGCTTTTTCAACACCAGTCTAACTTTCAGGTTGGCTTATTTAGTTTTTTAAAATGAGGAATGTCACCACAAATTACATAGAAGCATTGCAAACACCACAAATATTCTTACCCTTCAATGCAAAGTGCAGGGCAAAACCCAATCTGCTTAGCACTTCAACAAAGAGGTTTCATGTTATCATATCTTAAGTGTTTAAGAAATACAGGCAAAAAGTAGATTAAAAGAAATGCCCAGAGCCTACAACAGTAAATGAACACAACTCCTGAGTTTTATTGGTCCATACACTATTTCCAGGGTCTTGTTTTTTAACTCTACATTTCTCCCTTGCACAATTCCAAACTATATGTCAGAAAATGTTGATGTTTTCTAACCTGTGAGGCATTTGGTACGTCATTAGAACTTGCTCAGGTGTGCGATCCATCGTCACCCAGGCTGACTCATGTTTAGATTTATGAGATGTCTGTTTTTCTTTTGCTTCTTGATTAGTCTCTGTTTTGGAAGTTTCAGAAGAATCATTACTGGCAAAATACTTGCTGCTTTTCCTACTGCCTGCTGAGAATCACCATGAAAAAAAAAAATCAACTCTGACAAGGCCTTCATGATCCAGCACAAATAGAAAATTCACCAGAGCATTTATGCAAGCTATTTCTAATAGGGTGAACACAGGCCCTCTCAGATGACTCCTCTGGTAAGAGATTACCACTTACTGAAAATTCAAAGATAAAATCCATTCCATTAAACTGCTTGAGACCTCTAAAGTTTTACTTACTCTTCTCAAGATTTGTCTCAACTTCCCTGCTTTTGTTCCAAGAAGCCCTGTTCTATGCAGACTTACCCTTACTCAAGTAAGATGCAAACCACCCTCCAATACAAAGAAAAAACTTACTGAGCATAAGTTAGAAGCCTAACTTACAGTTTTAAGGAACAACTTCTGGACTCTCATTTCTGACTGTTGTGACTGAACAAAATTTGGCCTCAAACACTGAAAGCTGGTGAAAAATAATGACAACACAGCCTCTTATTGGGACTTCCCACTTCCATCACAGTAATATCTTTTTTTTTTTTTTTTTTTTTTTTTTTTTAATGACTTACCAGCACGTTAGCAACCCACCTAACACTGGAGTAGCAAATGTCCAGATCTTAACTTCCTTACCTGTGCCACCACCAGAAGTTTCACAGGAGCGAGAGCCTAAAGAACTAGATAAAGCCAATCCACTGCCTGATGCTGCTGAACCCGCGCCTGACTGGGCGTCCTCACGCAGCAAGCGGTCAGTAAATTCACATGAAGCACAATGGCTACTAGCACTGCTACCACTATCTTCCCGACTATCGTCCTGGAAACAAAAATCAAAACAAACATCCATGGAAGTCACCCTCGAGCTTGAAAAAGGAAGTTCATGCATTTACTGAATTTGTGACATGTTGACAAATTCTTGCATCAGTTCAATAGCTTTGGAATTTCTAGCTCTGAAAATGAATGGCTAGCTAGAACTCATGATAAAACTCTTCACACGTGAAACCAACAAGCGTCCAGACTTTCTGATTCATGCTGCAGATCTTTCCCCACAGGGTTTCCTTCAAGATATTGTACTTTTACATTAAGTCGAGTTTTTTGCTGACAAGAGAGTCAGTTTTTTCCATGCTCTGTTAGGTGGCGCAGAGCAGCCACATATATTAAGCGATGCTGCCCTACAGGGAAAATGAAAGCATTCCCCTGAATCGCTGCATTAAGCTCATAGCTTCAGCAACTACAGATACATCAACTTCCCCTCAGGACCCTACCCTGCAGTTTCAGCTGATCCAGCCTTTTCAGCACAAACTGGATTCCCGAGACTTTTTTTTCCTTGCCTGCAGAGCTCAGATTCCTGCCTCTGAGTTTACCGCGGAAGCTGGAGAGGCCTTTTCTATGCCCATGTATGGAAACCGACCCACACGGATCCCTGTTCTTCGGTCATTAGCTGCATCCCTGGGAGACAGAGGGAGTAATTAGAAAAGTATCTTCCCTTTGTTTTAACTCTCCACAGAGACTGTGGGACTCAGTGAAAAAGACGAGAGCCATGTAGTCCTAACCAAGTTCCACATGCATAAAAGCCCACCCAAAACTGCTGACAATTTAATGGGAAAAAAATAAAGTGTTGCCAAAGCACTGAGCAAGAACAGCTTGCAGCAGCCTAGACCAGATCTCACATCTGTGGCTTTTACTGAGCACCAACTCCGCACTGCTACAAGTTCCCATGGGCTCAAGCGTAGTTTCTCTGCCTCCTTTGCTATTTGTGCCCTGCAGTCTACAGAGCATAGATATCGGTAAGAGAAGCTAACAGAATCTGGTAACTGAACATAGTGGAAGTCAGTTTCTCTTTGACACTAAAGATCTTTGTTACTTACACATTTAGCTTCTGTACTTGCTTTAAAATCAGTGTTAACTGAAGGCTCCACAGATTCTGGCAGCTCTTCTTGAAGTAAATTCAGCTGAAGCGGGGAGCTGCTCCGTGAGCTACTCAGCTGTAAGGCCCAGCCATGTTGTCCCTCCAGCTGCTCCTCAGTGGATGTGGCAGAAGAGGCCGGACAGGACTGATCCGCAGAGATTGGGGCTATTGGTGATGGAACTGAAGGAGGGGGGGCAGGAGGTAGAGTAGAGCACGGATATGAAGAAGGGAGATAAACGTTCTGAGGGCTAGGAAGAAAGGCATGTTGAGGCATCTGGGTATATACAGGGAAATTGTGAAAAAACACAGCCATAAACATCCCTATGTTTGGGGGAGAAAGTGCTGGAAATGATGGTGCTCCACAGCACAGCTGTGACAATGACGTGGGCTCAGGTTTTGTTGAGTAAATAGCAAGTTCCTCTCCTATAGGAGAGGCCGGAAAACTAGACAGTGCATCTGAATAGAGGGGAAATCCCACAGGAGGAAAGCAATTCGTACTGGAGGACCTTAAACAGGACATTTCTGAGGGAGAAAGTGACTGCTTCCGAATTCTTCTCTTCTCACATTGAAGACCGTTTCTGTTTTTACTACAAGATCGTCTATCTGAGGACTGTCTCTGAGGCTTCCGTGGTCTGAATTTTCCTTTTTTGCCATTTTTACAGCTAGTTGGAGTCATCTCCTTAGAAGGAGAATTTCCTGAGGAAAAAAAAAAAAAAAAAAGAGATGTTCATTGAAATGACAGACAGAAAAAAATATAAAATAAACAAAAAAAACCAGGAGATAAACAAGAAAAAAATAAAAAATATAAAGAAACATCCAGATCATTGAGTGTAGCTCATTCACAGAGCTGTCTTTGTTCTGGATAGTTCTGCATAATTCTTCCACACACTACAGTGATAGAGTTGCAGACATACCCACAATGTTTTCCCTTCCTACCATCAATTTTTTTTTTTTTGATTATCCCAATCAGATCTTTCATATTCTTTCAAAAGGAGGCAATAAGCTATTTCAGACAGATCAGGTTTGCTGCAGTATTTGGGAGCTTTACAAAAAGTCTGAAACAGCAACAACCAAAATGCAGCAGATCTTCAGCACGGGCAATGACATTGTCAGGTCTTGACAATTCAGAACTACTCTGTTCTCAGCCACAGTAAGATTTTTCAACAAATCACACGAAGAACAAGTTTTCATTGCTAAGCTTTTAAAATAAGCCCAGTAAATCTGTATTTCTCAAAAGCACTGCCTACCTTGGTCATAGGAATGCCCATTGTTACTTCTGCTATCCCACTGAAGGCAAGTCCTAAACGGAGAGAGCAAGATCCTCCTGCGGAACCTGTCCACGTAGTTTTGCTCTTCCTTTTGCGTGTGGACTGACAAAGCCTCTTTTGTTAACCCAACTGGCTTTAACTCCTCAGCCACTGTAACAGGATTCTGAGCATTCAGAGGAGGCAGCTCGATGTGTTCATTTCCAACATGAGTATTCTCCATTGTAGTCACTTCTTTGGAAAGAAAATAAATCAGACTTTGATCTGGCCTTCTGGTGTCAACACCCACAGTATGCAGAGGGCTAGACAAAATAAACACCTGAGCTACTGAGCAGACAGACACTGCAGGGTACCACTTACACTCAATTACATTAACACAAATTCAGCAAATTAGTTCTTTCCTCATACCTCTTACAATTGCAGCAAAATACTCATTTTTGTGTTTCTGCATTAAGTAGTATCAGCCCACTAATCATGTTTATTTTCAACAGCTCACTGTTGCATTTGAGAAGTATGTAACAAAGTGACAGCACAAAGGAAAACAGGCACTCGAAGCTTCATAAAAACACTGTAAACATTTTCAGGCTCAAGTTTTCTTCACAGCGTCTGCAGAAGTGCCTCAATTGTGTTCAATTGAGATACGTTCTGATGAATATGAGCTCTGAAATACAAGTTTCCTACTGCATATTTCAGTCAGAAAATATTGTTCAATCTAAACATCAGTGAGTCTAGTCAATATTTTCCAAGAATGAATAGTACCTGATTCAGGGTGTGGGACATGCACAATAGTGCTGCTGTAACTGCACTGGCTGGTGGCAGATACCACACTCAGAGACTTGTTGGACAGGCTCAGGCCTGGCAGAGGAGCTCCCACAATGCCTTCATTGGTCTGCTTCTTCACCATTTCTTCCTGATCAGCAAATACTGGAGTTTGGGAATTAACTGATGAAAGAACAGCAGTATCTATTGGTAAATTAAAAGATTTTTACTTTGAATTTCTTTCCAAGCACTTCAACTGCTCCTAAACCATCAAATCTGATTGGTTCAGAAGCAACCACTCAACCATGCAAACTGTTAAATAAAATAGATATACACACAAATAAATGTAACATTCATATACCACTACAATGTCGAAGTACACTAAATGTGGCATAAAACCAGTGAGCTACAGAAGGCTTATTTAGCAACAGCAAGTACTTGCTGATGGATTCTAAATTTGAAGACTTACTACTGTAACTTCTGCTTAACCGCATGATCTGGGCAAGGGAAGAAGATATTTACTGTCTGTAACCAAAACATCTGCACTGTTTGTGTGGTAGTGATTTAAAAAATGAAAAGAAACCTTGAAACATACAACAGTAGCATATCAGAAAAAAATACATCAGTGTTTCCATTACAATAGTAAGCATCCTTTACATTACCTCCCAATGCCCTGACCTCCTGCAGTCTTGGCTGGTTTTTCTTGTCACCATCTGAAGATGATGATGTATTTGTAGAAGATTTAGATTTCCTTTTCAATACTGGAACACTGCAGCTCTCTAGATATCTGAAACATAAGCATATCACAGGAAGCTCTTCCCATTTAAAAAAAAAAAAAAAAGAGACCTTATCCACTAAAGTAGAAGCTTTTCAAGGTATTACAGCCATTGATACAATACTCTAGAGCAAATTATAGCTTTGCTGTAGTGCCTTCCTACAAAAGGAAAGCACAAAACTGAGATATCATACAAATGTTCTAATTGTTGCTATATTGGTATATTGGTTGGCAACACGGTTTGTGTATAAGTATATATAGGAGCTGAATAAGGAAAGAATTTCTAATTACCACAATAGTTTTTCATGTTCTGGCTTTCTCGAGAAATGTGATAAAGATATGAGTCACATATTTTATGCAGATATTCCAAATCAGAATTTTATCCCAACCCAAAATCCAGTCAATGCAAATTGCATACATAATTACCTTACGCTAACTGGATCTTCAGTATTATTCACTGTAACTGCTTTGTTGTTTCCTACCTGATGATACTATCAACACAATTAATCTGCTGATAGGAAGGAACATGCGGAGTCTTCTTTGAATCATCATAAAGTGCATTGCCCAGTTCTTCTGTGCTATCACTTCTCAAGGTCGGGAGAAAACAGGAAGCGCTGTGCCTCTTCCCTAGAAAAGGAGAAATTCTGAAAGACATGGAAGCAACCCCCACTGAGATACCTTCAGAGGAACATACGGCCTGTCACAGCACAGCTCTCGTTACCAAGTTATTCTGCATTTTCATCTCAAAAAAGCCCCACCAAAATACTTCCCACATTCAAGCCAAGTTAACATGCCAACTTCACTACTTGAGCAGTCAGCCAAGTTCACAGCTCCAGACCTACAAGAGTCTCCATCAACTTAAGAATCACAATTACACTACATTACCTTCTAGCATTTCTGAACCCATAGGCTGTTCGTTTCCATCCTGTGGCTTGCTCCTTGATGCAATATACAGCTGCTGTCCCAGATTCTTTATCCGGTTGACATCTGCACACACCTGCTGCAAAGTCACCTTGAGATACATGAAAACGTGAGGTCAGATTGAAAGGAATAGAAGTGGACACAGTATTGAGACGGGGTTGGGTTCTTGTATACTCCTAACTGAAAGACTGTCAGCCTAAGTCTAGTATCTACTGGCATTTGTAAACATACTTATCATGGCGAATTTAACTGTGATAAAGCCCAAACAGCTTCATCATTTAAGTTCCATCATTTTTATACTGATGCAAATTCAGAGCATTTGCTGGTTATTTACCCAGCAGTCTCAAAAATTAAAGTTTCAAAGCAGTCTCAAAAATTAAGTAACAATGCTTCTCTTTTAGGACAGGATCGTCTCCACTCCTACAGAAGTTAATAACACCACTCTAATGTTCTCTTGAGGAAAAAAAAAAATATGGGAAAATCGAAACCTAATAGAGCCCCCCCACTTATCTTGCGCGCCAACACTCTTCCTAGTTGTGCGGCTTTCTCGCTTCTTCTTCCCCTCGAGTCCCCCAGTTCTTTAGAAGGCCAAACTTTAAGCAAGTCTTCAATTTCAGTCTTCAAGCAAGTCTTCAGTCTCTACAACTTCAGTGTACTGCAGCTACCTGCTCTTTTCTGAGCAAAATTAAGATCTAACCCCAAAACCAGCATTCTATAATTGACCCGCTTAAGGACGCTTAGCTTGAACACAACCACATGCCTTCACACTGAAGTAAAATTCTTATGTACATACACATCATAACTCTTCATTTCTTAAAATGTGATTTTATTACTGCACAGGCATTGATATATCTAAAAACTCACTGGTTCTGGTGTTTCCTCTGCACAATTTCCATTGGAGTCGCTTGAAGATGCTACACTGATGTAGTGTTCATAAGAACCACTGCTACCAAGGCTACCGTAACCACTAGAAACGTTGCTGTGAACTGGCTGTATTGGGGAAAGAGGTGGAAGGAAAAAAAATAAGCAAAGAGAAAGGAAAAACAGTTTGCAACACAGAACTCCTAGTGAGCAACAACAACGAAAAAATTAAATGAAGAGTCGGGACTGTTTTTTTTCTACAAGAAAATGGTAGAACTCAAAAGTTCTACCATCCTCACAGCCGTCCCAGGATGAAGATTTACCTTTCAACACAAATATCTGCAGAACATGTCCAAACAGCTTTCTAATCAGATGGGCTACATAGAGCCTTAGTTTTAAAACTGGCACACAAGCCTGTCTCGAATTAAAATGTTCTTCCAAAGGAGGGCAGGCAAAGAAGTTTGCTAAACAGACCCCAGTTCCTTCAGTCTCTCATTCAAAAGGCAAAACGGTGTTTTGAGATTTTAATCTTCTTTACCTGCAAAAGCAACTTGTAGATTTGGCCTTGCAATTCTTTTATCTCTTTCTCAACACTGCTAGTTTCTTGACTTCTTGTAGCAAAAACATCTTCATTCAGAGGGCTTCTAGAGAGTCAACAGAATTCCATAATTAATTCTAAACTGACAAAGAAAATATAACTCTAAGCAGAGTTAGGAGAGTTAACTATTATTAACCTGTATTTTATGTTGACTTTCCCTGAATCAACAGAAAGGGATATCATCTGTTCCACCATCAGCTAAAGCTAGAGTAGTGAGGCTGTGATAAGAAAGCAGTGCTTAATGCAAGGCTTCAGGATTTCAGAAAGCCATCAGGCACAATGACACGAGCAAAGGCTGATGAGCACCCACCCTTTTGCCTCCTTCACACTCCAAAAAGTCTTAAAAAAAAAAAAAAAAAAAGCAGCTAAATTTGAGAACTCAGGTCACTGCCAGAAAAGCCATTTCCTATGAAAGGAACCAGGTAAGAGGAAGCATCAGACAGTCATATCTCCAAATACCTCAGAAATCAGGGGGAGGCATCTGAAAAACATTAACTCAAACATTCAGTGCTAATTCAATTCTTACATGAAATCAATCAGGTGCAGAATCTAAAGATTTACCAAGCAAACAATTCCTAAGAAAAACAAGCCAGATTTTGGTCATACATCTATCAATTACAGAATTGTAGGAATCACAGAATTGTAGGGGTTGGAAGGAACCTCCAGAGATCATCGAGTCCAACCCCCATTTAATTACTGATTTCTTTCTCTGTTAAGCAAATCAAAACCAAACATCAATTCCTTGCTAAAGTGGTCTACCTTTTAGATAAAAGTAAAAGCTAAAAAGGAACTTCAAATTGGTGTTCTGATTAAGGCATTCTCATTGTCACAGTGTTTGGACATCCAGTACATACACACACGGCTTAGAAAAGTAGGTTTTTCCTTATATTTCAAAGTATTGAGAACAAAAAGAATTAAGAAAACCTAGCTTCAACAATTCACTTCTACAACTGACTTACGTTCGGACTTTGTGTCGGCCAATGATGAATGCTACTTTCCTGCTCCATGGATTCACAAAACTGGACCAGCTGGTATCCAGGATGACATAATCCCCATTTTGAGTGCAAAACCTAATGGGTAGGTATTCAAAAGGAGGCTGCCCAGCAAATTTCAGGACTGAACAAAAACAACCAAGAAACAAGGGTTAGTTTACATTTTGGCACAGCAGCAATAGCACAAACACAGGTGACTGGGGTACGGTCTTGACATCTAACTGCTCAGTGTATTTGTGTCCAGACTGGAAAATAGTCACATAGCAAGCAAGAGAGTAATGAACAATGTTAGGAGGAGTTTAAATTCTTTTTATGACCATCGTACTCACTTTTACGGTGAATAGTGATCATTAAAGGACGATCTTCTGGATGCAAATACATCAGTATGGATGTTCCAATCAAATCCTGAGGTAAGTAACCCAACAAAGGCACTGCTCTGAAACACAAACACACTATCACTGCATGTAATTCAGTCTTGAGTATTTACATTCTTTAACCTTCGCTGGCCAGCAAAGTCCCCACAGATGATCTACAATGACCTGAAGTACAGCCACAGAACATTCTCCAACCCAGTTATTAATCCCCAAATATGACATAAATATGCAAATATTTCTGTTCCCAGAGAGGTAAACTGGAAGTTCTGTTGTGCTTCCACACATGGTGGGGACAAGGGGGAAAGAAAAACAGAAAACAAAAACCACAGAGGTTCCAGACAAAACTGTCAGTAAGAAATCCGACAGAGATGCTGTGAAGTGTGTTGTAAAAACATCCCTGGGGCTCCGCAGGAGACAACTTCAGCCTGCTCAAGTTTATAATAGGCAGCTGATTAAAGCTGCAACCTGCACTGTGATTCCTCAAACACTGAAAAACCACATTGCACATCTGTATCACCAAAGGTCCCCACTGCCCCAAGGGCAACTGACTGCAGTTATGCTTAGTTTCACTTTTTTAGTCAAAGCTGATTACATTCTTGAAAAACCTCTGGAACTTCAATGACTAACAAATAATTACTGAAAATTAACACAAAACAATTTTGCTTCATTAACTACTGCCAACTGCACAGTTAAATAGTTTACTACTGTTTACAGCTGCATTACCAGTGGATTTTTTGCCACCTCTCCACACACACCTCACAATCCTTAAGATCCAAATCTCACCTGTCATCTATCTCAAGAAAAACACATCCCGGAGTGTGAGTAGTGGTGAAGATTCTTTTATCCATAGGAATTCGAGGAGCTAATTGAAAAAGAAGTATTTACTGAAACACAAAACATGCATTGAAACAGAAAATCTAACTTAGCTCTCCCACGTTCGTGTGTTACGGACTTCTGAACTTTTTAACCGTTCACTTACTTCTGATCAGTAACTCAAAGACACATTACAAAATTACAGGTGATACAAATCTCTCCCAGCTGTAAATGTAGTGAGGTCAAAGGTCTCAGGACCTAGCAAAGAAGAAACGTGCTTTCTGGATAGGCATGTGTGCACTCACACTCACTGGGAGTTACACCTGTGAGAGTTTCCAAGTGCAAACGCCAATCAAAGTAAGCTGACATTGATACATTGTTTCCCTATTGTCTTGTTTTTCACTGGATCATCCTGACTTGCCTTCATATCCAGAGTGAATTTTCTCAGCCAAAGCCAAGCAGCAGGACTCTGCATCCACATGGACAGCGGTGCAGACATGGACCAAGTATGGGGTGATTCGGAATGGGTACCAGTGCATTTCTTGTTCTTGATCTTTACCACCTCTGAGGAGAAGTAAAAGGAATTAACGTGTTGGTGTCAAGACCCAAATACTTCACACCAGTACTGAGAGCCTTACACAAGTAAATCGTGCAGAGCACACAGAACCACGTGAGGACGAATCCCTCGAGGCTCTATGCACAACGCCCTGCAATCACAGGCCAACACGTTCAGCAATACTGATCTTGCTTCCCCTAAAACCCATACATACTTGGCCTCTAGCACATGCACTGAAAGGCAGTTCCCAAAAGCCCTTACTCTAGTAGTTAGCAACCACCTTCTAATTCTCATCCAAACGTATTCATGAGAACCAACAACTTGTTCTTGTGCTAAGTTAAATACATGTATTTTTTCTTTTATTTGTTCTTTACTCTGTACTACTTTCAGGCAAAAACCTCTGTGTCTCAGACCTCATTCCATCAACCTAATTAAGCAGGGTTTCTCCAGTGTCAGCTGAGAAATTGTTGCTCTCTGATTAAAGCAAACAGAATCGGGATATAACAAAAAGAGTTTAACTAACACAAATAATTTTCATATTTAGCCCTTGTGCATGCTAGTGAACAGATGCTTTCACTTATGAAGCTCACAAAATTGAATGTTTGTGTTGAAGGACGGAAAGATGTATGAAAACACGAAAAAAAGAGTTAAGCATTTCACAGTATTTATGCACCTCACATAATTCCCCAAATTGAAACTGAAATTCACCCTGCTAAACTTATTCCAAGCGTTAAACTGAAGAGACTTGGAGGTTTATTTTAGACCCAAGTTTTTGAAAAGCGTGACTATGTTGGTGATCTGCTGACAGATGGAATAAGTATTTCATCTGCTCAGAAACAAACAGCTCTTAATTAAATCAAGAGACACCTCATTTTGGAGAAGAACTGCATCAGGTATTACAGGCCAGCCTCTATTATACTTTGGTTCCTTCAGTACTAAGATTAGCCTGGCACAAAGCAACAGATCCCACCCCACAGTGACAGAAAGTAGCATCTCCTGACTTGCATCTCGTGTTGGAACTCAGATGACCGAGTTTCCATTACTACCTCTGTCACAAACTCCCAAGCAATCTTAAACAAAACATCCCGGCCTCCACTCTCAAACTGCAGAAGTGGGACTCTTTCCCACGAAATCATTCTTCTACTGCACAGCAGTAGAAAAGGAAGCTGTTAGGCCTAGAAGAAACATGCACGAGCAGTTTCTTCCTCTACCCCATGCAAGCTTAATGATCACTATGGAAAAGATACTCAAAACATCCTGCTGAATGCTGATATCGAACACAGTAAGCCATTCCCCTAACAGAGTTCACACTGGTCATTGTGACAACAAACCACCACCTGTGCCCCATAGCATTCCCTGTGCCCAGCCTTCATGAATACAGAACTATAATAATATACTTACCTGATCCTGCAGAAAAAGGATTTCACCTGGGCATAGTCATACAGAGAGGCTAATAAGAAGAACACACATCGAAGGTATCAGTTTATATCCTAAAACAGGTCACACCTATCAGAACTTCCAAACTCTTTACTCCCCAGGCTTTCTGAGCAAGAACAAACTCCCACAGCCTTCCTTATAACAGCTATTAATCAGTTGGCCAACAGTTTGCTCCTATCTCAAATATTTCTTCCACTGCCCAGTCTGAGGAATGGCTGACCTGGAATTAAATTCAGAGAAAACTTCAGATTTCCAAGAACCGATGCCAGAACAGATTACCAGCTAAGCAGACAAAAGACGGAGCCTTGGCTACTCAAATCATTCACTGCTAAAGTGAGGCTCAAAAACTATCATTCAGTCACATTTAGTACCAAACAAACAAAACCCAGTAAAACCTGGGTTCAATGAGCTACTCTTACAGCAGGTTGCAAGTGAATCTGTAACACTATAACATGATGGAAAATAAAGCAATAATTACAGAGTAGCAAAGTCTCTGGCTGCAGCAAATGGGGACAAGCCCAAATGCAACAGCCATAGATACAGAAATGAAGGGAAAAAGCTACTTACCTTCCAAAAGCCTTGAGTACACAGAGGTCTCCAGAGAGATCCCCTCACCTCCACTGCCAACCCTTACATGAGGGCTGGGAAGGGGAGGATCCTGGCTCCAGCCCTTCCATCACTCAGAACATTGCATGCACCTGAGCTCCCCTGGGCTGGCCCTGCCTTCCCACCAGGTGCTCCATCACTGCTTCAGGCTGTGACTTAGCATTTCTGCTACAGGACCATAATAACAGAGCACCTAATCAATTCTAAGCTGTAGATTAAGCCATTCTAAATGGACAATTAGACCTTCTGTTTCTTTTCTGGAAAGCATTTGGAAAGAGTAAAATAGCAGCTGCCTTTTACTTGTAGGCCATTTATCTGCTTATGAGTAAAAGTCATCTGCATTTTACTTACTCCAGGTAGGCTAGGAGTAGCTGCAAAGCTACTCAGCTTTTCCAAGTGGAAGAAGGGTGGCCTGAGTATATTGCTAGTGTAAGTATTTAGAGCAAACAAGCATTCTATCCTCATTCTGTGAAGACAGAATCATTATTATGTCCTACCTGTTTGACTTTCTGTGCACCAAAGTGGCAAGTGAGACTGATCAGTGTGTGCATAGAACACACTTGCATCCTGAGGGGCAAGAAGCTCTACAAACCGGGAGGATTCCAAGACTTTCTTCTTATGGTTTAGAATGGATGCTGCCTGCTCAGAAATATGCAATATGCGCCCAGAAAGCAGGGAAAACACAGCCACAAAGGTGTCCTGGAAAACAAACCTTATTAAAAGCAGTTCTCCCTCAACACATGGTAGCAATATTGAATGGATGAAAAAAAAAAAAAAAAAAACAAGTCAAACTTCCCCCAATCTCCTCCCACAAGAACTACAGGACAAACAACCACACACCATAACGACAGAGGTACAGAAGAGACTTCTAAAGCCAGCATCCAAACAAAATCGCATGTGAGCTACTACAGCCTGCCATAGCGTCACAGCTTACTCATTACTTACTCATGCTAATGAGACTGCAATATCAATACTGAAACAGATTCCACAGATGCTTGCCATTTTCCAGAATGACTGCTTATCTGGCCACAGATTTCCCCCCAGATTTCACAGGTCATGGTTCCATGTACAGAAATCTGAGAACTTTCTGATAGAGTATGTGATAGTACTGAAACTCGGCACCCTTTGCAATAGAGCCAGAAACCACAGCATGTACTGCAAATTGATTAATCAATCGAGAAATAATCCAAGAACACAAACAGAAACCAGAGACCTTCACAACTACGGATTTGATCAGGTATGAAAACATTATGCTATGCCATCCGAGGAGATTATTATGCTGCAAGTGAATTCAAAAATTCTCACAGATCATGGTTGTGTCTGGGAAAAAAACGAAAACAGGAAACAGAAGTATTTCTTCACTTACAGCTGTTGGGTCTGCCAATTCAGCACAGATAAGCAGTAACACTGATCTACCACTACTAGCAAAAACCTGTTTGCCTTTTAAAGGCTCTTTGATTTTACACTTCTGTTTCCCTAAAAGATATTAAGGTGATAAAATAGAGACTGAAACAGAAAGTGATGAACTCCTCTCAGCGTGTCTGAATTCCTTACACTGTTTTTTGGAGTGTGTTCTGATGCAACTGTCACCAACTCTTCTATGCCGTATGTCATCACACCCGTCTGGAACACTCTTCGATCACCAAGAGCCTGGAAAAACTCATTGTTTGCTAATTGAAGAAACAAAAAATGCAAAACAAACAGAAGGAAGTCAGTAAGAAGACAATTTTAAAAGTATTTCTTACAGCCCTCCTAACTGTCATTGTTTTGATGAAGCCCAAGTTGAGATGAAGAATGTTTATGGAGTAACAAAGGAAAAAAAAAAGAGTACTGATTATACCACTGGAGTGACCTATGCTGCAGAAGAGAAGCACAAGGAAGTAGAGAGGACAGCAAGTGACAGCAAAAGAGTGACGAGCTACTTAGCTCTGCTGCAGAACACAGGAGAACTATCCAGTACATTTTCCAAGCTACAGAAATGCTGTTTTCTCAACATGCATGACAAGTTATTAGCAGTCACCTATCTGTGCCTGGATGCGGTATGGGATCGAAGCAGTAAGAGGGCATTCTGACTTTGAAGCCAAAAAAACTAGAGCAGCTCAATTGTTGACAGGTTAGCTGAAGTGTTTTCATTTGTTTGAATGCTATCTGTTGTCAGACGCATCCATTCAAATCAAGCTGCTGCACAGCTCATGTGCTTCCAGGCATTTTCCATGCTTACCTCGGACCTGCTGTACACACCGTAAAGCGTAATTGAGAGCACTGACAGTGCTGGGCTTGCTGGAACTCCTTTTCTCTTCAGGCAAACAGTTTTTGATTTCTTGGATCATCACCATCAGATCTTTGTGAGACTGACGCCAATCCAGCTGATCACTGATCAAAACAGAGGTTGAACTCCGATGGCGACTTCTGCTATAGGAGATTCCACCCCCAAAAAACTATTTCCACCGTACGGCTCGACCCACAGGACAGGAGGAAAAGCCCTAAAGCTCATCTGCTGTATTTCATGCCGCACCTTTTGATTTCTCTGCATTTTAACCTTTCTGTCCCCTCCTTCCGTGCTGAACCCAGCTCGTTTTGGCTGGCAGAGGCACCGTAATCCAGCCGAGAGCAGATCCTAACCAACGAAAAACTCCAGATGTACTAAATATCACCGGCATCGATGCCAGCAATGGACGCTCGCTCCCCCACGTGCTCAGAGCCCAGCAGCTCCCCGGATCCCGACACACCCAACACAGCTCGGCGCTCAGCGCCTCACCCCCGGCTGCCCGGGACGGGGCCGCACCGCAGCCGGAGCGAAACCGACGCCGCCGCTCACAGCCGCCGCTCGTTTCCCCGCTCGCTGCTCATCGCGGCACGCCGCAGCCCCGTCGACTCACCCGAGGCGTCACAGCTGCGCTTTGCACCGCACCGCAAACGCAGCGCCGCGTGAACTCAGCCCGGAACGGCCGACCGCTGCGGGTCCCCGCGTCTCACCCCGTTCCGCGCACCGCCGCCCCGCCCGGCCGCCCCCGCCGACCGCGATTCGGGCGATGCCCCCAGAGCCCCGCGCGCCCTCCGCATCAGCGCGTTACCCGAAGCCTCCGCCCGGCGCGCAGCCGCCGCACTCCGTCCCGTCGCGCCGATCCCCGCCGGCGCCGCTTCCCGCGCTCAGCCCCGCGCCGCAGCCGTCCATCTCGGCTCGGGGACGCGGCCGGCGCCCCCCGCCCGTTACGTAACGGCCCTGCACGCGGCCGCGCCGCTCCCACACACGGCGGCAACGCGCGGCACCGCCCCCCCCGCCCCGCCTCCCCACACACAGCCGAGAGGCGGGAACGGGTGCGGAGCCACTTTATTGGAGAGCGCGCGCGCGGCGGAGGCGGCGCCCCGCCCCTCACGCGCCGCCGCACGCGGCCCCCGTGCGCGCGCCAACCACAGCGCCACGTGCGGCGCCGCGCGGCCCGCCCCGAGACGGGCAGAGCCGGGAACGGAGCCGGGAACGGCCGCTGAGGGCGGCGAGGGCCGGGGCGGCTCGGCTGAGGCACTTCAACGGGGCGGGGGTGCGGCCGACCCCCGCGATGGCACCGCGGCGCGGCGGGCGGGTGAGGAGGACTGAGGACCAACGCGGCGCCCAGGATCCGATCCTCCTCACCGAGGCGCCGTACGGGCGGCTGTTAGTAACTGACAGGAGTGTCTTAAGGCAACCAGGTAAAGTTAACGTTTCAATCATCAGAAGAGTTTCGCTTTAAACAGCAGTAGGTGGGCTGAGAGTACAGCGGGCTTGGAGCGGGAAGGCTGAGGAAAGGCACCTTCGGTGTGAGGGTTTCCTCCCGTAACTCATTTGGGCACACTCAGGACTACAAAAAAAAAAAAAACAAGAGTCTCAGTCCTTTCCTTTTAGCCTCCTGCCCTAACAACCCCCCACCTTATGGGTTCTGAATGCTGCAGTTGCTCTGTGCTCTCTCAGAGTGCACAGCTGTATGAGAAACGCAGTCTGCAGCCCAGCGTGCTTCACAGCTGATTGAGACCCAGTTAATAGCTTTGCAGCGGGGGTTTATCACTCACTGCAGTCAACAGCAGTGAGAGCAGACACTACTGCCTGAACGCAGTGTTGTCTGTAACTCCTATAGAGTGTCCCAGCTGCCTCTGAACTTCACCGGCTGGTGAATTAACCACATCTACTCTAACTCTTAGCAATCCCCATCCTGCTGAAACTTACCAATAATGATGATGATGATAATGACAACAACAGCTATCAATATTGCCCACATCTGTGAAGAAAAAGCCACTTGTCACTTGATATAAACTGTACAGGAGTACAGGACAGCAGCCCTTGCAAAGCACTTTCACTTGGTGTGGCAGACCTACCATGGCAATTAAAACTTTTTCCGTATGCAGTCTTGTCTCACTATTGCACCTAGAGATGGTAGGCTTTGTAACACAGCAAATCAGAGTAGACCAAGTTCTTTTCTACAGTGACTCCTTGCAGGCAACCACACAGCAGGAATAAAGAACTTAAAGATTACACCTCCTCTTACTCTACACCACATTTTCTGTTGTCTCTTGCTCACCAATGAGGATTCCAACCTCCGCCAACAGCTACAACTATAAGGAGACAGTGAGCTAATTCTGCTTGCTTGCACATTAGTATGCATTTTTGGCCTTTTCCTCCTGTATCCCAAAGCCTCAGATTATTGCAGCATTTCTCTGGTCATTACCCACTCACACAAGGCCTTGTATCAAGCAGCATGGCCGGTATCCCACCTTTCAGTTACTTCACCTGACCACTGCCGTGCTTTAAAACTAGATGCTATAAAAGCGAACGCTGCCTGAAGTCCCTTTTTCCTGTGCCTTTTGAGATGCTGACTGTAATACTGTTAGTTGTGATACTGAATACTGTAAGTGTACATGCCATGATTACCTTACAGTTCTTCCACCAATACTTTCTTTTCAGCTTGGCTGCACTGGTCTCAAACTGGGAAGCTCCCGCTTGCAGCGCATCAGCACGGTCATCCAACTCTGACAGCTTCTGATCTCTTTCCAGCACCTTGTCCACATTCACTCTCATGATGTCAACAACCTATATCAGTAAGTTATCAGTTTTATTAATCATTATAAAATTCATTTGCAGGGAACAGATGTTCTCATCTAAGAAAAAAGGAACTCGCCTTTTAGGGTATCTAAACATAAGCCTGAAATTTGCCTGCAGCTGGAATCCCTACTTCTCAGTGTCAGTATTGCCAGTTGTGATGATATTCCCTCTAACCTGGGATGTAAATCCTGACTAGCACCAGAATGACTTGAGGCATTCAAGCACAATAGTCAACCATATGTCACAAAACAATGTTAGCAGCCAGACTGGCTCTTGGCCTCCCCAGGAATCAGGACTTGCTCTATTTAGAGGTAAACCTTCTTTGCTAATGAAGAGAAGCAAGCTTTTTATCTGTAAATCAAAGCTTGCTGTGTTCCCAGCTAGCATTTGGGCACTGGAAGCTTTTCTCCATTTAGTGCAGCTGGAATGGATTATTATTTTTCCAAACCTTTCCAAGACTTAAGGTGACATACAACAAAGAAAGATGAATTATAAAAGGTTTCACCTTCATATCACAGAATACCTACTTTGGCCTGTATATCTATTCAACATACCAGATTTTATTAAGGAAAAGGATTACACTTATCTAGCTAGATTTTTACCTCATCTACTTGATGCTGAGTTTGCTGAAGTCGACGGTTACTGCCAGCAGGCACATTTGTGTTTCCAGGGACACTGGCTGACCTGCAGTAAAGAAAGCCATTGATATTCTGCTTAGTTTCTCTTAGAGATTTTGCTTTCATGTTGACATGCTTACAACGCATAAGTGATCTGACCTTCCTGAAAGCAGGAAACTTTGATTCCTGAAATAATCTTAGAGAAGTTTCATTTCCTTTTGGAAAAGTGATGTTTTAGCAGCTGTCTATAGGTCTAAGTCAAAGTGCATCCTAAATCTTTTGCCAATGGATTGACTGATGTACTAAAAGAGAGTAGTGATTAGCTAACACAACAGTCTATATTAAAGCATATGGCAACTCCTGTAGTGCTCAGAAGGGGCTCGGGTTCTCAAGCACAGGCTCAGCAGCATTCAGTTTTTCAGTAACAAACTATAAGCTTCAAAACCAATTACCAAAGTACAGGAACTTCCATGGTTGTTCTGTGTTCTTGCACAGAGCGGCCGTCTGTCTATTCTTTTGAAACAGTCGATGTTGAGCAAGAGAAAGCACAAGGAAAAGGCACTTGGCATACAGAACAGTTAACCTCTACACAGCCACATTCTCGTTACCCAGTACAACACTGTGATGGATGCAGGAGTTCCTGTATGCATTTCCCAAACCCTGTTCACAGCTTTAATGACTTTCTGTTGTGTAGCTCCAAAAGTCCATTTGCTTTTCTGTGTTTTTCTCTTTCTCTGCATCAAAAGCATGTATTGTTCAGTGCAAACTGATATCCAGAGAGTCGAATCTGAGTGGTGTTTATTTTTACATCTTTGGGCACTAAATTCAAATCTACATTTAAAGGAAGCGGACACACACAAGGACCCACGCCCAAGTACCCTACAATAACAGGACGAGGCTCAAGAGCAGTCCACGTTTGACGTAGTTGCCACTCCGGTGTTTTGATGCTCAGGTCACGCTTCCGTGCTGTTTCACTGCTATAAAGATTTAGAGGCTGCTTTCTGAGGCTCAAACGGAACAAACACAAGAAAAAGCCGCCTCTCATTGCTCTGCCTACATGGGCAGCGCCTTCAGGAAAGGCTCCATAAGTTGGCAAGGCCGCCTGCATTGTCACGGGAAGCCGGACGTGCCGGGATGCCCCCCGGCCTCCAGCAGCAGCCAAAGGGTCTGGTAGCGGCGGTTTGAGGCGCGCAGCCCCAGCGAAGGCCGCGCTCGGCCTCTCACGTCTGGGAGCGCAGCCGCCCCGGGGAGCCTCCACCCACGGGCGGCGCCCGGCCGTCATCAGCAGCTCGAGCCGGGCCGAGCCGCCCGCCGCTCCTGCTTCACCCGCCCGGCTGCGGCCGGTCTCCCCGCCGCCCCTCCGGGCCGTTCCCCACCCGCCGGGGCTCCTGAGGCGCAGCTCCGTACTCACATCCTGCCGCGGGAACGGAGCCGCTGCGCACCCAAAGCGTTCGGAAGGGACCTGACAGGAAGTGCGAGCTGCCCCGGATGTGACGTCAGAGGGCGAGGCCGGGTGAGCCACGCCCACAGGGGCGGGGCGGGGCGGGAGGATTGGCTGCGCTGCCGCGGAGCCGCGGATCGTTTATCGCTGCGTTACGCGCTCGGAGAGCTTCGCGGTCGCGTACCGCGGTTGCATTACTGAAGATCGGTTCGTGCAACTTACGTATCTGCCCAGTGCAATAAGTAGCCATTAATGCTCAGTTACTAAAATTATTGTGATACTAAATCCTGCTAGTTTTCTGCATTAGCAAACCTCGAGGTTCACCAGGATTTGCCCCCATTCTCTGTGCGGTGCTGGAGGCGGCGCTCTGCTGCCAGCTGTGCCAACTCCAGCACTGCGTTCCAAAAAGGGCATCGTTCTGCTCTGTAGGAACGAAACCGACGCAGAAGAGCTCCTCACCCCGCTCAGTGCTCACCTGTTGGGCAGCACTGCTTTAAGCTGTGACAGAAGACCTAAGCAGAACTACTGTCAAGGGCTGGTCAGGTATTTACAGACATGCAGTGTTATCAACCGATGGAACTTTCAGAGTATTTTACAACTTAAAAAAAAACACTGCATGTCACCTTGGCTTGGAAATTAATTTCCACTGAGCAAAGCTGCAGCTAGGCTGAACCTGTGTTTTTGGGGACTACTGGGTTTTTAACGCTTCTGTGTTGTCATTTTGGCAAAACCTGCACTGGAAGCTTTGAGAGGATTGTTACCCAGCACCAGAGATCTAAAACAGTTCTTTTTTGATGTAAGAGCAGCCAACACACAACAACAAAAGCTTCTGTTGGCGGTGAGGCCGCAGGGCAGCAGGGCAGCAGGGCAGCTGGCATCGCACGCTTTCTCTTCAGCTGCAGGTGTTGAATGGGGCTGCTGCAGCACAGCGCTGTGCAGAGCTGGAGGAGCTGCTCCCTGCTGTGTGTTCTGTGCCCAGGCTGAAGGCTGCACACCAGAATGCAGGAGCAGAAGGGGCCAAAGATCCGGAGGCTGCGTTGCTGCCTGCAGTGAATCCCAAAGGCCGCAGACCCAGAGGCAGGCAGACTTTGGACCGTTCCAGTTAGAAGCAGGAAGAGACTAGGTGGTGTTAACAAGCAGCTTCTGTAGCAGAACACATTATTTTGTGGTTTCATATAGCCACTAAAGGGAAATGTCACCTTTTTAAACTAGAACAGATAGTTGAAAAAAAGGCAGACACTTTGTATGGGGAAATTTTCTTTGTTTTTAATTTACAGCAGAAAGAATATAAAGCATTCAGAAAACATTTTCCATATTTTAAGGGCAATTCAAAACATTTTGCATGGTTCCAGCAGCTGAGTTCTTCAACAGATCCATTGATTCAGTGATGCTTTACATGCACGGTTACAAAAATAAAACTTACAAAAGAGAAGACATCTATACTAGTTTTACATGCAAGTCTTGGGGACCCCCCATTGGGCACCAGCTATTGTGTGGAACTGCCATAAGCGTGCAACCAGAGAGGGGGTTCATGTTATATTTTGTATTTCTTTCACACAGTATTACTGCTGTCAAATGCGTTTCACAAAGGAGCAATTCCATGATCAGAAGACAGAAGGTTTGGCTCCTGGCACTTGGGAATCTGAACTTTCCCGGGAAGCTGCACTGAGTTTATCTTCTGTGAAAACAGGAGTTCCACAACGGAGAGAAGGGTGAGCGAATCACTTCAGTGGGAGTCTCTGCAACTCCCATGCGATGCACTGAAGGGTTATGACCCACACAACAAAGCACTTAGAAGCTGTACTTGGCTTCAAGCAGGCAAGTATTTCTGCTGACCCTACGGAACTTCTTGCATGTTTAACACCAAGTACACGCTTAAACGTTTTGCTGAAGCAGGATCTAGGTTAGTAGATACACCACCAGGCCCATGGATCTGGAAGAGTAATTTGAAATAGCTCTGTATATTACTGAATCATTTTTGTAAATACAGGGAATTAAAATATTTCCACTGAGGTCACTACTCTTGTTAGGAAAAGATCAATTCGCATCGTCACGCACTGGTGAATGTGTGGAGCAACGTTTCAATTTCAGAATGTCAGAGTTCCTCCAGTATTAATACAGAGCATTTCCTATTCATTCCAAGGGAGATTCTTCTGCATTTCTGTTTTTGTGTGTAAGGAAAATTTAACACATAAAGTCCCGATTCCATAACAATAAATTGAGGCTATGAGCTGCCCAAAGCCACAGCATGAGAACCATTCTTCTTTCCTTTTTTTTTTTTTTTTTTTTTTTTTAATTGAATCAGGTCATAAAGCAGCAATTCAGAAATGTACAAGATAATTCTGATAATGAGCAATAGCACACATCTACTGTAATTCAATGCTGGCAGTGAAAAGAAGTAATTAAAAACAGGTACAATTATAGAAAAGGCACCAAGAGCACTGACCCCAGGTTTGTTTTTATGTTTTGTTTGTTTGTTTGTTTGTTTTGCCACAATCTTTGTTTTTACTCTTCTTTTAAAGACACCAGTTTAAAAGCTTCTTATGTGTGAGTATCTTTAGGCTTCACAGAAAGCCTTCCGTTTAAACACTGCAGTTGGTGGCCGGGATCGAGCCAGAACGATTCCTCCCATAGGAACAATCCCAAAGTGACATCAGTCCGCTCAGAGACCTGCCGCTGCTGCTAGCAAAACAGACACAGAGGAGCAGCTTCTGACCTCAGACAGACGAACGGAACCCACTTAACGGCGGCTTCGGAGCTGCTTCCCTTACATTCCTGGGTAGCCGAGATCAGAACCTGCTTCCCATCGTTGAGAATTTGTGACAGTTTTAAATTAGTACTTCAATTCAAAAAAAAAACAACAACACTGATTTCTTTGGCTCCTCACTATGTGGAAATAGCAATATACCATGACACCCCTACGAGATCAGTTTGCATCTTTTTTTTTTTCGTTTTACTTAGTTTTTTTTTTTAATTTTTTGTGCAATTTTTATTACATTTTCTGACTTCCAGCAGGAGATATGAAAATGTGAAAGATATTTTCTACTTTCATACTATTTCTTTTTTTTTTTTTCTTCATTTTATATTCATTCTAAGTGTTCTTTATTGGAGTGAGTGTATGGTGTTAAGCTAGATACATTTCTGTACTTTTATGATTATCTGCTTTGCAAAAGTAACGTAAGTTTCTGAAGCAATATTAGCATTCACATTACTTGGCACCATTGGCAAAAAAAAATAAATAAATAAAAAGGAAAAAAAAGACGGGGGGGCAAAAAGAAGGAAGGAATAAATAACGGAAATTCAACCAAACCGAACTCCTGGTAGCCAAAATCAAATGTAAACATATCCTTTTTTTTTTTTCTTTCTTTTTTTTTTTTTTTAAAGTAATGTTGCTCTGCCTTTTTTCCTAAGTCTAAATACAGTAGCTCTTTTTTGCCATTTAGTCATGCTTTAGCAAAAATGTTCTTCTAAAGAACATTTAAAATAAAGTTTCTTATAGTGAAATAAAGTTTTTGTTTCATTTTACAGACCATAGCCACTAATGCTTTGCTTTTGTTCATTTCTTTTTCTTGAGTTCATGCACATATCTCTTTGTTTTAATATATACAATATGTACAAACAATACATCCACACTCTTCTCGTTCATTCAGACAAAACTATACAAATAATAATTTTATCTTGCCAAGTTATTGACCCTTTATGAATAAAATATTTAGTAATTAATCAATATATTCCCTTTCAAATATTTTTTTTCTCATTTTCCATTTCTACCTTCTATATATACAGAAACTGCCCAGATTTGATGAAAGAGCCAAAAAAAGAAATTTACTGGCCAGAATGCAGCACCACTCTGCTCTTTAGGTGGCATAAAATGTCCAGGCAACAAATGTACGTGACTCTGCAAAACGACAAGAGGTTTGACAGTTACGACAAAAAGCTACATGTCTTGCAAATTATTGTAAGAACTTAATTAAAATAACAGTACATGAAAGTAAGGCTAGAAAATAAAGTGCTGAATGTGAGAGAAAATACATGGCAACTGATACGTTTTTGCAGGTTCTAGAGTAAAAATACCAAAAAGAAACTTTTTAAAACTTGCTTAAGTTGCTCTCTCTGCTTCTTGCACGTTACCCGTTTATCTCACATGCCAACCCCTTCTCAAAGTTCCCACGGGATGTATTAAAAACCTGCAGATTTAAAAAGTTGCATTAAGTGTGCTGTAGAGATTTAAATAAAACACAAAGGACAGATGTGCAAAGGAAATGAGGATGCATGGACCCAATAAAGACGTACTGATCTAAGCCCCTCCACTGAGACTCTCAAAGCTTCAGTTTCTTGGAGATGACCGACAAGTGCAGGAACACCATTCTTGTGTTGCTTGTGCATTCCCACCTTTTCTGAACAATATTTTTGGTATAATATTTGTACAGTTCCACATGTTGTTCAATACAGCCCTATATGAAAAGGATAATTAATCGCTTCTTCCTTCTTGGAGAATGAAGCAACTCACAAATTCTTCCTGGTGTCTTTTTTTTATTCCTATGATCCAACAGAAGATTGAGTTCCAAGATGTCTTGCTGAACAAATTAAATGTTGTCCATGAAAGTGCAAATGCAATGACCAAAACATTACTGTTAAAATCCTGCAGATGGTATTTCCAGAACTGCAGTGGGTATTTTTGTTGTTGTTGCATGTCTCTGCTAAAAACAGAAAATGAAAACAGTCTGAGAAGCAATGTCACATTGCTACGGGATGCTGCTGCTTATCTTCAAGTTCCTTGGCCTTTTTCAATTCTTTCACTCTGAAAAAACAAAGAGGAGCTATATAACACTTCTAATCCAAAAAGCCTTCAATACAGAAAAAATCAAAGCCATTCCTCCCTCTATCTTCCAGTACAAAAGAGACAACTCTCAGAGCAATGGCAGCAGGGCCGTATGCTGCTGACACCATAAACAGTTGGAAGCGCAAGAGTGGGACAGCAGAAATCTGAGACAAAACACATTTGGACATATAACCTAATTTCCAGCTACTGAGCTAACGTGCTCTCATTCCAGCATTGCTGTGGTATGCATGTCAGCAAAGGAGCCCAACCAAACTGGCAGCCCCTGTACCTGAAGGCGGTGTGGCAGAGCTGGGCAGGCTGCTCAGCTTCTGCAGCTCACAGCTCCCTTCCTTGGAGCCACCCTGTGCCCTGCCTGCTTCCTCTGCCTTTCCTCCTGCCCTGCAAGGGGACGCCCACCCCTAAGGGAGCAGAAGACAGCTTAAATTAAGGTGATTTAGCTGGGCGTGTATGTGCCCAATTACTCCAGTTACAACTTGAAAGCACAGGTAACAAAGGTACGGTATACAGAATCACATTGGGGCTGCAAATCCATGTAACAGAATCCAATTAAAAGCAAACAAATTTAGTGAAGGCTAAGTAAATATAAATTAGACACTAAGAGGTATCAGGAGAGCTAAGCTGCAGAAATGTCCGTTTGTAGCCTCTTTAAGCAGACTTCCACTCATATGTTATCTTCTGGCTCTTCTACCAGCTTGCTCAGGGTGTGAACTGACCTTCGTGTCACTGTTTTATTTATCTTTCTGTATATACGACAGCAGTCAGGAGGAGCTGGCTGCTTTAACTCTGAGCTCACCGACAGCTCCAGCACTCACAGACACTCAGCTTGTGAAACTTGAGGAAATAGGAGCCCATGAACAAATCACACTGATATAAGCAAGGTCAGACCTTTGCTGGTTATCTCACGCTGCTTGAGAATATCATGCCTGGAAAGACAGAGGGTTCTGTCAGTCCAGATGTGTGCGCCATTCTCAGAGCCTGCAGATCTACCTTCAAGAGGCCCTGCCACTCCTGAAACCCACGTCTGGCAGAGAGGAAGCCTCAGTACAGCTCTCTGAGATGCCAAGAACTGCTCTGATTTCCCAGCAGAAGAAAGGGCAAGGCAGCAAGCAGCACCATGTGCTCTGACTGCCTACTTGGGCAGTGCTGTGCTGAGCCTCAGTTCCTCCTAGTTTCACAGTGATGTTTTCTACAGGGAAATTGTGGCTCTGCACAAGCTGGCATCTAAAAGACCCTGCAGACATCAGAGCTCTGGGCGAGGGCTTCAGCACTGCACAGAAGACAGCAAGGCCCTGCTTGCCTCCAGGGGGCTGTGATGTGTTATGGTGTTACCTGCTGGTAAGTCCACATCATCCTTTCAACTACAGTAAACATATGAGAGTTGGTGCAGTGAACTGAAAACGTTCACCAAGACAATTTGACCATCTTCAGTATATTTAGTTTTCTTATAATAGAAAAGCAGCCTCTCCTTTGAAATCTGTAATGTTTCTTTTGCTGCACCACTTAGAAACAGAAATTGCATCAAGGTAATTGCTGTACTAGAAAAACACCTGCCTCTGGGCAGTAGTCCATTGTTAAGGTTTAGATTAACTATACATCTGTTCAAGATACCATCTATTAATGCATGGTTAGCAGTGCAACTTCCAAGTGTTTTCTGTTGCACTTCAGTACTGCAATGTAAAATTAAGCAGTTATTGTAGATCTCTTACTGAGAACATGCACATTATTTAAGCTAGTGGCTCTTTCATTGAGACATGCTACACCTCACTTTAGCACTTCAACATGCAAAGTCTACGCTAACAAAGCATTTTTGCAGGAAGAATGCAAGACATGCTTTGCTGCAAACTTTAACCTACAGCATGCAATATCTGTACTGGTGCAGACCTACTGGATCTATTTAACTGGAACATACATGCCAAGGCGAGTTATTATAGCTATACTATATTACTAGTTACTGTATTACAAGTTACCATTACACTCAACATTTGCACTAGCACAGATCTGTTGAGAAACATACAACGCTTTCCTTGGTTAAATGTGTTTTACGTTGATTTACAGATTTTCAGGCTGATAAAAATTCTGCAAGTGCAATAATTATTGCTTAAAAACCCACTCACATACTAGTATTGAATTTCCCTACCGTGCAGTTACAGCCTTTGAAAATTTGTCACGTGTACCACCACTGACAGATGCAGCCCAGTATAAAATGGCTTGAAAGAATCTATGAATTCCACCGCATTTATAAACTTCAGGATGATGACCATCCCAACTTATTAAGCTACTACATCTGTTTTTAATTAAACTAACCTCTGTGTGCAGTAAACAGAATTGGGCTCTAATGGGAGTGCAGATAGGTACCAGGAGTCCTTTATTTCCCCACTGCACCAGCAGCATGCAGGAAGACCTGCAGCCTGTGGCTGGTGTTCCCTCCTCCTCACTCTGCGGAGTAAGATCCAGGGATGCCCTGAGTTGCTCTCCCCTCTTCTGGCTGCAGGTTTGAGGCAGTGCTGCTCTGCTGAGAAACTGCAGCATAGCACAGCGAGAGTGGAACTTAAAGTAGTTCTTTACTCAGATCTTCGCTTTGATTTTGTTACTGCAGTATCAAGTGTCAACATGAGCCTGGGGTTAGCATCTCCTCTTTGTTAATCCTCTGCATAATAAACCTCCTGCATTTTCAAGTGCAGTTAAAACTTGACAGGGGAAATAGCTCTGGACAAGGCAGGACCCTTAAAAATAAAAATACACTGATGAAGTGCTGTTAGGACAGCTTTTAAGTGAGCAGCATAGCACTGCCTGCATGTTGGAAGGCAATCTACCTTGCCTCCTGTATCTGTACTCTCAAAATTCAGATAAAGGAACAAGGCCAAAGTGTAGGACTTGGAGTTACAAGCATTAATAAAGTACTCCAAGGGAAAGCACACTAATAGATTTTACAGAACAGTGCAGACTACTGCAGAAAAGAAGAATGTTCTCAGAGAAGACATTTCAGCCTTGTTTGGCAGACTAATTGTGAAACTTTGTGTTTGTTTTAATAACAGGAAAGTGAGAGAGCTGAGAGCACATCATACCAGCAGGCCACGTGCTGACAGATGGCATACAGATCTCAGCAGACGTTCATAGGCACCAGTTTGGATCTCTTCTAAAGCACCTCCTGTTGCACGAGGACTGGTGGTGAGTTCAAGTGCAAGCCAGAGCACACCAGAAAGGGCACCGGGCTGCGGCTGTCCCCAACAAGAAGTACCACCTCACTTCAATAGCCACTAGAACCATGCACAGAATTACAAGGACTGCACTTTCGTTTTTGCAGTGAGGAAGCAGTCAGCAAAAACCTCCTCAAACAAACTTTCTCTAGATGTAAGCATCTCTGAAGTACAAAGTCATTCCCTCAGCAATCGCTGAAGAGCAGATGGACAGAAAAAAGCACGTGCAATAGAGAGGGTGACTGCTAAGGGGTCCGAATCACAGCCATGGCGCTGACACACGAGAGGGGACAAGAAGATGATTTCACCTCTGAGCTCAACACTGGAGAGCTATGTCCCACTCCACACAGCTCTGTCAGACCAAGCCTCTGCCCTCTGAGCAGTGGGACTTCCTCGGGCACCACAAGGACGTTGCATCATTACGTGCTGAAGCAATGTGGAAAGCAGCCCCAGAAGCGAGCAGCAGCTTCTCTCCCCACGTGCCCTCCCGAGTCTCATATGGGAGTGCGTCAGCAGATGAATTAGGCCTACTTACAAAGAATTACAGCAAACAATGGCTTCATGGGTAAAGCGTAACACAAAGCTGCTTCATCAAACTGACTCCATAATGCCCAGCCAGGGAAATGTTTAATGAATCTGTGAGTTTTACAGCAGTAAGTTCTGGCAATGCTGAAGATCGGTGTAACGCACAGGGTGCAGGAGCCAGGGAAGTCTTTTCCGGCAAGTTACCTGTTGCTCTGAGAGCTGAAATAGCCTGTGGGACATTTAAGAAAAGGGAGCTCTTGCCTTTCTCCAGATATCTCATTTGGGTTGCAAGACAAAAAAGACAGAAAGGCCCAATAAGAATGACACCCCAGAGCACGCGGTCTGCAATTTAACACACACATTTGAGCTCCAAACACATTCAGCCCCTGCAATAGGGAAATGAAAGAAGAAATTACTTTGGAAACGTCTCTCACAGTGCTGCATATCCCAATATATTTCCTCCTAAACTTGAACAAGTGGGACTTTTCAATCCCTTGTAACGTTCCACCATTCTCAATATGATTAAGAAGAAATCAGGTACTTAAATGCAATTGCATATAGTAAAAGAATAAATTAAAATAAACTAGAAATCCTGGTTGTAGTGGAGTAGGAAAAGGTTTGTCACTGAAATGCCGAGAAAGGGAAGGTTATGCAGAGAACAACAAAACACAGCAATCGTTGTTTTCTCAGGTACAAAATAAAGTTATACTTACCAGAGGAACTGAATTCAGGCACTGTGTGCACGCTCCCCAAACTGGAGAGCAGCACTTAACGAAATAATAAGAGACGAGGCAGAAGGAAGGAGAATCTACTTCTAAACGAAAGAGGCCACCAATGAATATTTTCTGCTCATCACAGGTGGCAGCAGCTGTGCCTGTTCTGTCCCAGAGGGGACAGAAGTTTTACCGGAGGCACAAAGAGAGCAGCCAGCATGAAGAGACCTCAGGATCTGCTGCTGATCCCAGCCCAGAGGAGAAGGCACAGCTCAGGCAGACACCCGTGATCATGTCCTACACCTACCAACAAAGGTCTCCTTCACAGGGAGCTGCAGAGGATGACTGCCCCAGGCCAGCTGACACTGCGTTCCCTGAGATGAAAGCTATGACTTCAAGGCAATAATCACTGGACCCCTTTTGTCTATAAAGCTCCTTAACTTCTACACTAGATTTAGCCTCACTTCAGTTGGACAAAAACAAATCTCTCCCTGTCTCATTTCTCTGATCCTCATGTAATGTAACCCAAATAAATCCAGGAAAATTAATGAAAAATATTTATCTCAAACTGAAACACAGATGCAAATACTGCGACTGTTTATCTGCATATGCAGACTGCACGAGCAGCGTCAGTGTACAGAATACCTGCACTCTGTATGCAACATTCCTTCAGGAGGGGGGACATGTCAGCCTCTGCACGTCAGAGAGCCCAAAAAGCTTTCCATGTGTGCGTGCAGAGACAGCAGATGGACATACACTGCTATACAAACTCAAGGCAGCAAAGAATTATTTGCCCTAACGGAGTTTTTTTGGCAGAACAGCAGCTGATATACTTCACAAGAGATATTTGATAGGTATTTTATGGTTAACCTTTTCCAAGCAGTGAAAGAAAGCTCACTTAAGCTAAATAAAAAGATCATACGAAGGCAAAGCCAAATGCTCTTAAGTAAGGAAAGCATCACCCATGCACCCAGAACAGTTTTTGCTGAGACATGCTAAGGTTGTCACAGCCTCCTCCCTCACATACTGCCCATTCCTCACCATGGAACACGCTAATTTTGCATGACTGACATTCTTTTCCTGATCTGTGCTTCTTTGGTGATGGGCTTTAGATGCAAATCCAAATGGCTGCACCATTGGCTGTAACAATGTATAATATATATAATATTATATATAATATAATATATAATATAAATGTAGAATGACAAATCAGTGCCTCAAAAATAAAACACTGAGCTACCAGGAGAGGGAGGACGTTACCAACACCATAAATGTACATAAATGTCTCCTTCTGCAATGCGTTCTTGTATGATTTTTAACACCAGCAAAACAATATTCCCATGAGCCCCTCACCTCACCGTCAGACGGGAATGAGGAGATGGGACACACTCCAGCATGGATATCAATGCTTACTCCTACAGCACTTTATATGAAGAATGCGATTACGGTCCTTCCCTTGGAAAAGCTACCAGCACTGAATCTGTCCCTGCAGGCAGCAGTAATAAAGCTAAGGGCAGACAGCTACACCACACCTAGCAGTTGGGTTTTGCTTAGTATTTTTCTCATCACGAGCTCAAAGCCTTTTTAATTCCATAATTCGTTCAAAGATTTTGATGGCTTTTACTGAAACTTCCAACGCTGCCGTGGCACTCAGTCTCCCTTGGAGCACCCAGTGCTACACAGCAGCTGTGCTGCTGCTCTCCTTCCCATGCACACATGCTACAAAAGGCTGAAATGCACTAAGTAGCCTTGATTTGTATCGACAGAAAATTCATTATTGTCCAACAACCACTCATGGAACAAGCAAGCTTCCAACATTCGTGCTCCAAGGTTTCACACATACACTCCTCCTCGCTGTCTCCTGTACCACTGCCCTGACTGCAACATAGATCAGCTTCAGCACATCTTGCAATTGCAGCAGCATCTGCTCTCTGACTGGGAGCCACCTGCTAGCCAAAGCACATCAGGCAGCTGCAGGGCTGGAAAGCTTCAGTGTGTGCTCACCCTTCTGCTGAGCAGCAAAGCAGCCTGCCATGCGTGGTCCAGCACACAGGAGAGCAGACTGTCCACACAGAGAACAACACATCCAACAGAAGCTTACGCAGCACTGATTATAAGAGTTACAGCAATTTTTATTCATCGTTTAACTTTCCCACAGCATGGACTGACAGTAACAGCTTAGAGAAGCAGTTGTCAAAGATCTGGCCCTGTCAAAGTAATCAACCAGGCATGTAACTTACCACAAGCAACTTCTGGGAGACAAGTATTGGTGCTTAGCCATCTTAGGATGTAAAGAGCTCTTCTACTTCACTTTGGCTCAGGCAGAATCAAATACCCATCTAGTGTAAGCTGCACCTGCACAGCAGCTTATAACCTGAACACCATCGCATTGCTCATGACAAAGGGCATCGTTACACAGTGAGGGTGTGTAAGTGCAGACCCAGTCAAGTTCCAAGATCTACTAATAGTTACTTTGGATACTGTAAAATATCCCATCAACACCAGCACCTAAGCATGCCCATGATGAATACACATGTCCTTTTTCACACACTCATGCATTGGTAACATCTACTGCGGAGCTCTGTCCTGTTATAAAAGCAGCAGTGTTAGTCATTGCAGTAGGGTTAGTTTATACAGGATTCTGTTTATATAATTAATGGAGGTGAAACTTACTGGCGTATCTTGGCTGCAGCCCCATGCAAGCAAGCAGAAAGCAAAAATATTTAAAATGGAAGAGAGGAACTGGCTAGCAGGCAGCTACACTCACCCTTTTGTACAGCCTATGGTCCACCAGTGGGCTTCAGATTGCAAAACAATACCAAAGAGCTATTAGCACACACATGGCAATAACCATACCTTACCAAGAGTTTCACTTCAGAGAGAAGGAGATAACACTTCTGCTTGCCTGGAGAGAAAGAACCCTTCCCACCTCCTACCTAACAGACTTCTTCTCTTCACCAGGGAAGAGCAGTCCTGTGTTTAGGTGTTCTAGGGTAGGATCTAAATAAAATAAACCCAATACTGTCATCCCCATGGTATTTCCAGCTGCATCCTGCCTTCCCTTCTTCCAATCCAAACACTACTCCACAGAAGATACTGCAGATCATAATCACAGTAGTAATGGTGTAGATACTTCCAAGAAGAGGTAAATTTTCATACAATTCAGAGAATGAATATGAAATAGTACATTATCTTCCTGGTGAAAGCTGATTGTATGGACCATACACGGATTCTGTTCAGCTAACCCAAACCTACTCCAGAACTCTCTGTTTTCCTTACAGATCTAAGTTAGTCAGAGGTCACTGAATAGGTGGAGTCTTTCCCAAACAATTAAATACGAAACCTTTGGCTGTCTGACACAGGACAGGAGACAGGCCAACCCACAGCAGCTGTCACAGCAAAGTTTGGAAGTTAAGTCAGCTGAGCAAGGAACGTGGATGGGCAAAGATCTGCTGTGAGGTCAGGAAAGTTCTATTTTTCATTCTCTACAAACAACGGTTCAGTGATGAGTCATGTTGGTACCACGTTACGGCTGATGCGTATCCTTCACCAGACTTTTGTCAATATAACAGGAGATGGACAACTATTTTTTTCAATGTTAAATGGAAAAGATGCGTCTGATTATTAGAATGACTGGTGATGATGAATGATCACTTTTGTCCCTATGCCGTGTGCTAACACTCAGCCATTAGAGCTCCAATATCCTCTCTAAAGCCAAAAACCCAAACTTACATCCTTCTTATTTTCAGCAACATCTACTCATCCATTATGAAAAGAGCTCCAGGCACAGAGCACCCATTGTTTGTTTGCAATCATCAGGAATACTGTCTGACTGGGGAACAAGGGTGGGTTCAGACCAAAACGCTTGTGATTGCTTGGAGAAAGTATCTGATCACGAAGGTGACTGTTTTCATTTCAGAAGGAAAAGAGAGGCTTTTGCTGCTCAAAGGAAAGATCAGAACATAGGCAAAAAGGAAGGATTTGCCTGCAAACTTCAGTGATGCAAATGAGTAAGTAGTGATGCTAATGAGTAAGTCTTGCACTGCAAAGGGAATAGGAAATGCTGAGAACGTGGAACAAGATGAACTGAAGGCAAGAAAAACTGCTGGAACTATGGGCACTCCTGAAGAGTCAAGGTTAACTGACAGCTAGAGATCTAACAATGTGAGTGCACTGCAGTCTCCACAGATGACAACACAGGTGGCTTCTCCACAGACTGTCTGGACCTCAAGCGGAAGGAAGTTCCAAGTCTTTGTCCACCTCAGTGGGACCAACCTGCCTAATGAACACAACCAAACCTTCCAGTCCCTTCCACACACCCCACTGACAACGAGAAGCCATCTGTGCTTCTTTGCCAACTGTCTGACCTGCTGTTAGAGGATGAAATGCACATGTGGTGAGAATGGAGAGTAGAGTCAGAAAAACCTGAATTTACTTCTGTCCAGGCAATTTACAGTTTGCAGCCTAGGCTATTTGGTGCCTTTTAATCAGGAAATCAGAACAGACACCTGCACACGGCAGGTGCAGTAGTGTGAGGCACAAGGAAGTGTGTGGGCAAGTGCACTGAGGTTCCCACAGTGGCACAGAGGAGTCACTGTCATATCTACCTGTACTCCAAGCTGCTGAGGTCTGTGTGGAGTGGCTGAACTAACTTGTCTACTGCTCTGTCGGCACATTCCACTTGTCTACTATAAAGAAGCTGTATTTGATGAGAGTGACCTCACTGATGGTTTCTGGTGTATTCCAGACATCGCATTTTGCTCTTTAGCACATACCACAAATGCTCTGTGTAGTGCACAGGTCAGTGCAGCACTCATGCATTGCTGCTATCCTTCAAAGGATATCCTTCTTTTTTTCCCCCCCTCAAGCTTCCTCAAGTCCAACTTTAAGAATCTTGTGCCTTCCTTTGCTCAAACTTCCACCTGAGTCTGTCCAGCACAGCCTTGGGTGCTCTACCATAGCAGCAGTACAGCCCAGTGTGATGACTGCCTTTCTGCAGCATTCCTAAGTTAGAGATTTCCTTTCTGCCAGTTCATCTTGAAAGCAGCTGTGCTGTGTTATTCCATAAAAGATCTGAATATAATCGATTCTGCTCCCCTTTACACTGCACTCACTGCTGACACACATGAATACATCACATTGCTCTGCTGAAGGGCATTGACCAGAGGGTGATGTCATACCTGTGGCGGCAGCGTCGTAAAAACCGCATAATCTTGCGAGCAGCTTGGTCCTGCTTCTTGGTAAGCAGACTGCTTCTAAACATACACACACACAAAAAAAACCCAACTTTGAAGCACAAACAAAAAAGGGGGGACTAGCACTAAATGCAAGAATAATTATCCTACAAAACATGGTACTTATCCCACCACCTACGTCCATTACAGTGCAGCTCTGATCTAAGCAATGACACACACGTATCCTGGTGGTTTCTAACAGCCTGGCAGCTCACCTGAGTTTCTGCTGCACAATGGTGGCCGTCCGACGGTTCTGCCTCCTCTTCCCACATTCTTTGTAGCTGCGGTAGTACTGCTGGATCAGCATCGCGGCCCGTCGGCTCTGCTGGAATTTCTTCTGCTCATAATAGCTTCGGAATTTGCTCTGGATAAGAATGGCAGCTTGCGTCATCTTTTTATAAAGTGCATACTAGGAGAGAAACAAAGAGAGGCTGAGGCACTCCAAAAGCCCCAGTGAGAAGCAAATTCCTACAGCAAAAGGCTCTCGTACCACTGAGACACAGTGGAAAACAAATGAGCACCTACTGACTGGTTGGGACTCTGAGAAAAAAGGCAACAGCCGATGAGAGCTGTGAAATACGTGCAGAACCTTCTTAAAGCTCTCACTAAATCATATCTTTCAAAGGAGTTACTTTCAGAACCTTATTTGCTGTTCACAGGTGTATTTCACTGTCCCAGGACAACATTTTGAAGAACCAAATTAAATCAGCTTTGTCCATGCCATCACAGAGTGCTGCAAACGTCTGGATTGCTCACGTTTCCATTTCTGTCCAAACATCTCAAATAGAGTAACATTCCACTCTCACTTAAACCAAAAACCACAGTAATTTAGCAAGTCTAAGACCGAGCCTATGGCACAGACAAAACTAATTGTGTTTGAAGTCTGTTACCAGCACTGACTGAACCTGGAAACCTCTACAAGCAGCCACTCGCATTGGAAACCCTCTGCAGCACCGCAGTGTTGCTTCTCTCCACACACTTCCCAGTGAAGCAGGAACCCTTTAAAAGCCAATCTGTATGGTACGCCCTTTCCCCTTTAAAACAAGCAAGTAGGAGGCTGCTCAGCAGAGATCAAACAACACCACACCTATTGTTTAACAGCCATCTTTTATAAGAATGATAGAGATGCAAAATAGTACAAAGAAGTTGCTCTCACACCTCTGAGCTGACACTAAGACAGAGGTTACTTGGAAAGCTTTATCACATTCACAACTTGGTGACTTCCTGCTGTTCCAGGAAGTTCATTTTAGCAGCTCTGACGTCTGCTCACTTTATTGGGCAGATGGGACACAGACGCAGCCCTGTACGGGGCAACGCCTGAAGATATTGTAGAGGACTTTATGTGTCCAGTGGGAAAGCAAAAATAAAAAAGCAAACGAATAAAAAAATCCCAACATGATCCCACAAGAACCAAGAAATCTCTCCAGTACTATCACAGACCACCATTTACCAAATTTCACTTTTTGGAATTGAAGCAGTCATTAGGTGCACTTATATTTTGTCATTATTTCTTTTCTTTTTTTCCTTCTCCTGCTTTTATACGTTTGTAATTAAATAGAGCAGACTGCAGTTTTAAATGAGCTATTTTATATAAGTCTGCTCGCAGGTTGGCCATGTTTTTTCTTCCAATTTTTAGCCCAAAGGGCACTTCTGTGGCTGAGTTACAAACCCCTGAATAGAAGGGTTTAAGTCTGAAATGGTGATGTGAGCTACGACTGTTCCAATGTCCTCATAGGCCTGCGCTGATCTCAGTAATGCAGTGACAAAGCAGCAGAGTATGGCATGTGAAAGAGAAAATCACAGCCTCTGCATGCAGAGCCCAGCAGCATTCACACTTGGATGGCGTTACCTGCTCTGCTCCTGAGTCTCTGGCCTGCCCACAACTGCCTCTCCTCCTCTTTTCCCTCCCTGAGAAGAGGAAAGATGGAGAAATGACCCAACCTCTGCCTCACCCCAACAGAGGCCAGAGGAAGCTGAGAATGGAGAATCAACTGGGGATGCATTCCCTCCAGGAAAAGCACGCCTTGCATCCTGGTGAGCTTTAGAAAAAGCTCAGCTGATTTCAGAATGCTTACAGCAAGACGCTGTGTAGCTGGAAAATCTGTCTTTACAGCAGAAAATTACTGGCAGCGACCAAAGTAAGAGTGGCTGTGCCTCCAGCATGTGCAGCACCACACAGGAGATGGTGGTCTAAGGAATCCATGGCACAGTGATCCTAAATGCCAACAGTCAAAGCCTTCTGGGCAGCAGGCAGAGCACAGAGAGCAGTGGCTGCATGGTTGGGACAGGCGCTCCCCTACACTCCCTGAATGCCAAGGCAAGGATCACAGTGACAGCTAATGAGCAGCAGCAAAGGAAAGCTCCTCTTCTGGAAACAAACTCCAAAACACTGCCTGCACCTCAGCCCATCACTGCGTATATGAGCTTCTGTAGAAGCAGGAGATTTGCTTTTTCCAGTGTCCTTCTACGCTGACATGCTGTGGCACAGCAGCCCCTGCATCCCCTTCTGGAGAGGTTTGGTTTGTCAGTGATTTATCTGCCACAGATACTGTGAAAACATTTCACTGAATGCCAGCTCTCCTGCTTTATACTGAATGTGAAAGCTTTTCACCCAACGGGAACGGTTCCCAAAACAGTGTTTGTATTACCTTCAAGGCTATCCAAGTAAGCTTAGGGAGAAACAGAAAATACACAGTTAATGTTAGTTCTACAAGTAAAGAACTGGAAAAAATATATATATATTAAAAAAAAATTAACCCATCTTCTTTCAAAAAGATGCGATTCCAGGAAATTCCAGGATCCCAGACAGAACAGTTTGCCAAGCAGCTTTTGAAAGGAATTCGGTTTCCTGTTTACAGGAAGCATCACTCCAGGACCGACACGGGACAGTTTGAATGTACAGCACAACGCAGTCATTGGGCACCAGAAATGCTTCTCAAATAAATGTTTTTGAAGGTTGGAAAAGAGTTCAGCATCTTGCCTTTCATCTTACACCACATGCCTGTGTGGAGCAGACAGCTCGAGTCGAAGGCACAGCAACTGCACAAGGTGGGCTGCAGCATCCACCAAAAACCCAAGCCAAACCAAAACAAACTTCTTGTTCTGGGGTTGAGAACTCAGCCTAAAAACTTGTCTCCAACCAGAGACTGGAGAACAGTCTCAGTCCTGGAACAAGCAGCAATGAGCTTTAGCACAGGACTTGCTATAGCTTAGAAGTTTAGGATGTGCAAAATAAAACAACCTCATTTTTCATCTTCACCCTCATCCAAGGCAAAACCAACTTCAATTTCACAATGAAATTTGGCAAGCAACTAGTTAGAGAACAGTCTCACCAGGCATGCATGTTGGCCAATACAGGATATGTTACTGCCCTCTGTCTCACAGCAAAGCCAAATCCTTTCAAGGAAGAATCCTCTGAATTAAGATTCAGGATACACATTTTCTTCCCTTTTTAATTCTGCCTGAGCAGGGTAAAATGCATACAGGAGAAATTCCCACTACAGAAGGCTGTGTTTGTGGCACTTGTTTGGCTCAGAAAATCTGACTTCCTTGATTACCTGTTTGTATTTTCGGTAGCAACGCTGAATGACAGCAGCAGCCACCTCTTGCTGTTCCCGGAGTGGACGACCCTGCGTGAAAAAGCAAAGCAGCAATCATCAGACTGCACCAAAACAGGACAGTGGTTTTTAACAGCAGCTCACAGCAGTTTGCAGGGCACCAACTTCCAAATCCCTCCTGCTACTGTTACATGGTCTGATCCACATCTACACATTTTCCAGAGACACCTCTACATCCAATTCATGTAAGAGAGAAAACCCTCATAATTGATCCCTGGGCTGAGCATGCAGCTCACCAGAGCTTGTACTTGGAGGACATTTTCGAGTGTTGTGCCAGCACAGAACACATGCTACAGCATGGGCTACTCTCCCTGGTACAGCAGATGCTACGCAAACACCAACGAGTGGATGCTAGCAGCACTGAAAACATTACGACAGAAACAAATTTTTGTTTGACCCTGGGGTGGATATTACCCACATTTTATTCTGCAACAAACTGTACTCTCACATCTGATAAGGAAGACATTTTATGTTCTGGCCACATACCTTATATTTCCTGAAGACTGTCTGGACGAGTTTGGCAGCTTCATAGAGCTCTCTCTGCTCATGATCAGACAGAGTTAACTGTGCAAACTCATTTTCTACCTTCTCGCTGGTGGATGCACTCAGAAATTCAGACCAGTCTGCTGCCGAAGGAAGGCTGGGTTTCTCAAAAGCTATTTCACTGACGGGTGAGCCTGCAGGGCTCAAGCTGGTGTTTGAAGAAGGGGTCAAGGGTTCACTATACAGATTTCTGAAATACCAAATCACAGGAGGAGTTATTGCTTGCAAAGCAGCTGGACTGGCATCACAGACAAGGAATTCAATATTTGTGAGTTTAAGGGAGAAACTCAAGCACCCCTTTGCCTCTGCAACCAACATCCTGCATTTCTAAGCCTGCCTGTATTGCACTGCATGGCTTTGGGAAAAGAAGTCAGGAGTCAGCCCTTGTGGCATTATTGAGATTGTGCTACACTTCTCTCCTGCACACACTTCCATTCTTCCATGAATGTGCAGCTGTGCTGGCAATGATACATCTGTGCATGAGTGCACGCCTGGCTGGAAGCACCTGCATTAAGTGCCACTGAGAAACAGCATCTGCAGCTGCCCAGCACAGAGCCCACCTAAAAAGCCCAGCGCCCCAACTCACACTGACCTTATCTGTGCAGCACTCGGCAGATGATCGACATCAGCAAGGTAACTGGCCAGCCAGCTCATCGTGGTGCTCATGGCAGCACTCTCTGCTCTCTCCACCTGCGGTGACTCCATTGGCACAAAATTCTCCCGCTTGATCCTGTCAGGCGTAGCTTCAATAATGTGCTCTGCAAGTGTCATCATGTTCACCTGGGGGAGAGGAGAGCAAACTTTTGCTGCCTGGTAACAAAAGCCTTGTGTTTGTATGTGACAACCCAGCTTTGTGCCTCAGAGAAAAGACGCGCCGCTCGGCACCGGAGAGAAATCCTTAACCAAAGCTCACTCACTTTTGTCCCTTCTGACGAGGCACTGCAGGGTTTCACACTCCCCAGACCATTTTCTCACTGTGTGGGGAACTTGAGAGGTCTGGTGAGAGGTTTGCACCCAGCCGCTACCCATCAACTTTTGTGTGTGGGGTGGAAGGACACCCTCTGACAACAGGAGAAACTACACACTGACCTCACCACCACCGCAGTGCTACGGCTGTTTACCTGCAAGTCATCCATGTGGCGTAAGCAGTCCTCATCCCCTACACTGTCCCTATAGGACAAGAGCTCTGCATCCACCAACTCCCTGTCAGCCAACATCAGCACATTCATCTGCTCTCGCTGGCGTAGCCGATGGCCCACAGCGTCCTTCCCCAGCGCAGCGCTCTTCTGGCTCCCCACCAACTGCACTGCAGACACACCAATATAAATGTCTTTTGGGTTCCATTTGATGCCCGCTTGGCTGCCAGAACCCCGGTATCCAGCTGCTTCTGGGATGTGCTGGGAGAGCTCCCGGCCATAGTCCCTTATCCCTTCACTGGGGCTGATTGTCTCAGTGGTGGACTGCTTGGAGCTGGAGTTCTGCTTCCTGACACTTGGCTGTTCCAGGCTCAGTGCAGTGGAAAGCAGCTTCTCTTGCCGGGCTTGAAAATATTCAGGGCTCAGCTTATGTTTTTTGGGTGCAGGGTAATCTTTCTGAGTCTCACTACTGTAGTAACTGGAAGGTTCTGATCTTGGTCGTCTCAGCTCTGAAAACAAACAGATCAATGGTCAAGTGAAGTATGCAACAGGTAATTGCCACAGAAACAACTTCTGCTGCAGAGCAGCAGACAGAAGTTTATGCTGTGCTCTGCAACACCCAACAGTGTATGCAAAGGAATCAACACCCAAGGAGGATATTATCCCAAATATTCTTCAGATGCACACATCTTCCTAAGGCAGACATTCACTCCTTTTTTCAGTATTTACAAAAGAGCACGGAGCGCATAATAGAGAGCCCACAAAAAATAATTAAGCATGGACAGCAGGGCTACTGGTGGTATCAGCCACCCAGGTGAGCTCCTTGCTCTAGGATTTCACATATCACATAATCAGCAAACAGTGCCATTGGGTTTTTCTTACCCGTGTTGGTACTGGAAATCACAGTGACTCCCTTCTGAGGCTCTTGAGAGGCAATAAGCTCACTGTGCCACTGGGACACCCAGCTTTCTGTGCTGGAGTCGGTGCTCGAGGGGCACTGAATTCTGGGGTTCTGTCCAAGCTGAGTTTGCTCATCACGCTGCAGCTGCTCCAAGCATTCTGCCAGCTTCACGTGGCCCCGAGAGCGGGCAATTGCCAGCGGCAGCCTCCCAAGGGAGTCAGGAATAGAGATGGCTCGGCGGTCCCACTTATACAGCACAACAGCTGCATCCATGTGGCCCAGGGCACATGCCCACATCTGAAAAAAACAATTGACCCATTGTGAGATTTGTTATTTCCTTCTCTTCTGAATAATGCAGTGGAGTCTTATCCTCAGGTCACAGAAATTTGATTAGCAAATCACAGCATGCATCACCACCAAGGGGTTTTTACAGATGTCTTCTACAAACAAAAGTCACTACAGAGGATTAGATGCACGCTGTTCTCTCCATTAAGTGAGAAACCTCCATCCACCAAATGAAGCTGACAGTTTCTCACCATCGAGGCCTTGATTTTTAGCTGTGTCAGGCACACTAACATCACTGCAGAGAAAGAACGGCCTCAAACGGAGATCTCTGAAGGTTGGGAACAATACAATCAAACTCTCTGCTGTTGTAAACTGGCACTTCTGGTTCTACCTGCTTTGGCGTTTTTCTTAAGCTCTTAGTCATGATTCCACAAACAAGATATCATGATGACTTTACAACCTCTACAGCAGAAGAGGAAAATTTGAAAGAAGGCATGTAAAGGCCTTAACCCCAGCATGACACTGGCGAGTAGAGGTTGGGTAAAAGACAGAAGTAGAACCACCTGTCTGTCCCTTGCCCTCATGCCACTCAATTACAAGGATTTTAGATTAGATATTAGGAAGAAGTTCTTTACCATGGCACAGGCTGCTCAGACAAGTGTGGGTGCACCATCCCTGGAGGTGCCTGAGGCCATGGATGGGCCCTGGGCAGCCTGACGGAGGGGTGCAAGCAGCCCATGGCATGAGGATGGAACTGAGGGGGCTTTAAGGTCCCTTTCAACCCAACCATTCAGGATCTTTCTGTCAGGACTGCCACCAAAGCTCTAGGAAGATGGTAGGACCACATCTTAACATTCACACAGCAAGGACATGCAGGAAACATGCACTCTTCAGAGTGTAACATACATCAAAAAAATAACATCAGAAAGGACTCCAGAAGGTCCTCAGACACCTTCAGAAGTTTCTGTCTCTGCTGCTTACCAGGGGGGTGCAGGAGAAATGATCCACATTCAAAGGGTCAACTTCCAGCTCCAGATCAATGCTGTCTGCGTGTTTGGTGCTGCAGAAGAAACAACGGAACAAATGATGCTCTGTAGACAAGTTAGGATAATTTCCTAAATGTACAGCTTTACCCAGCACATCACACCACAATGAAGTGGCCACGTATGTGCCCATGACACACATTTACTACCCATGGTACCCCCAATAGAGACTTTAAGTATGACACGACCAGTAACTGCACTGTCACAAGATACAGGTCCTCCCAGACAAGGGGAGAGGAAGAAGTTTGGGGATTTGGCTGATATGTTTGTAAGGGACACATGGAGCAGTTTGTAAGGGACAAGCAGAAATCTGGAGCAAGCAGAGCTTACGTATGTTTCCATCATGTCTATATTGATACCCAAGAGCCCAGCAGGCCGCGTCTTACCGCCATTTGATGAGGGTCTGGATCAGCGTAGCGTAGCCCTGGGCAGCAGCTAGGTGGAGCAGCGTCATTCCTCGGAAAGTCTTTGAATGGATCAAGTGTTTGGACTTTGCCCAGCAAGCACGACTCATCATCTTCTCACACACCACCACCACGCGGCTCTCAAAGCAGCTGCCCAAGGTTCCAGTCCCAGAAACGCACTGAAACACCACACACAGCCCATGTTAACCATGGAGCAGAGCTGCGCTTGCCCTGAGCAGGCAACTTTCCCTTTCAGAAGTAATGAGACAGTGGCAAATGCGAGTGCAAGCCAACTGCTCTTAAAGACATCCACAAAGAAGCCTTGTGGCTTAAAAAGAAACAACTACACTTCGTTCCAACCCCCGTCACATACAAATGCTGGTAAGAAACCATAAAGCTACTGTGACTGGGCACAGCAGGGTCCATACCTGCACCTGTGTTCCTCCATTCCCACTCCCATTGCTCCCGCCTCCTACTCCTTGCTTGTGCTGCTGGGAGCCCGTCATTTCCGCCATTCTCCTCTCCATCTGCTCAAGGCGCTCCAGTATCGACATCCTGAACTGGTTATCTGGGTTGACGAAAGGCAGAATAAGGGCATTTCCATAGTAAGGAAGTTCAGTTTTTGGCAGCCTACTGTGGAGAGCCACAACCAACCGCCCTGAAAATCACAAAGGAGATCTGCTCCACTTGGAGCACAGGCATGAGTGCCCTGCAGCATTCTGCCTCTTCAGGTTTGAATATGCAAGTAAATCCTGAGCAAATGGAATTGTTCATGCAGCATCTCAACAGAACCACATAGAAATACTCTCAGTTTTAGAGACAACCCCTCTGTTCTCACAGGAGTACTGAATTAAGCTTGGCTTGCCTTCTAAAACCATGCAATCATAGAATCACAAGGTTGGAAACGACCTACAGGATCATCTAGTCCAACCGTCTCCTCATCACCATGCAATAATGGCACCTGGAAGAAAAAGAAAGCTTTGCTTCTTTCTGCACTCAGAATAAGAAGCTGTTAAAAAGGTCCACATTCCTGACCTGACAGATGGACTTCCTTGGACAACTTCAGCCAAGCCACCTGGTACAGGATTACCAGAAATCTCAGGGGATGGGCACTGATAAACCAGGAACACCTCCTGCAAAGCAGAGTCGTGCAGTCTCTGCACAAATCTTAAGGATGTGTTAGTTATTTTCACCTCCCACTGTAAGCCAGCACTGTGATGCGGCTCGTATTGCTTGAACAGTGGAGTGGGGAGAATGAGGTTGCAGCACTGCATGAGGGCACTGCTAAACTGAGGCTGTAGAGATCTCTGTGATCTCAGCAGATATCTCTGTGTCTGTGTCCAGTCAGTGCAGCTCGAATGCTCCACAGCAAAGCCCATTAGCAGCAACAGGAATCTGTGCATGACAATTAAAATGTTTTTATTGGGTTCTAAAAGAGAAAGTCTCTAAAAGAGAAAGTCTCTGAGAGACCTGCTTACATACAGAGCCCCTAGCAGCACGCTCTAAGAGTCCCTGCCCCTCAGAAAGTTTCTTCACGGTTCCAGTAGTGTAGTTTAAAGTGTGACAGACTGTCAGCAATACTCTTAGAAAAAATTTCCATGAAGGTTCCCCAAAGTGCTCATCAGCACAACTCCCACTTGCCAGATCCACCCGGATGGCCTCTGTTTAGCCCAAGAGTCAGGCATCAATTAACTGAGGAACGAAACAAAGCGAAGTCTCCCTTCGTCACCTAACTAATTTGTCAGCGAGATGTCAGCTCTGACTTCCCAGCCATTAGAGAACAACAACAACAAAGCGTCCATCCCGGCTATGCCTTGGCAGCAGACATCAGCTCAGCTCCAACACAAATATGTGGTAATTCAGCACTTTTGTGGCTGGGTTTGAGCTGTGGGTTGGACTCGATGACCTCCAGAGGTCTCTGCCAACCTCGATCACTGACCCCGCAGTCCCACCCGGGCCGCCCAGGAGCCAGGATCACAGGAGAATGCCGCTTCCCACTGCAGTCATCTGCCTTGTTAGGAGCCTTGTTATCAGTGCCCGATTAACAGCTCAGCTGCCCTGTGAATTGCAAACCCTTCGGAAACGCCGTCATGCAGATGCACTCTGACAGCCTCACCTCTCAGCTGCAGGCAGCGCGCAGCAGTGAGCGGAGCCGTGTTGCTCAGCCAGCCTTTGTTCAGGCAGTGCTGCAGTGTGCTGCAGTGCAGTCTGCTCCTCTGCCTCCTCCTTCCCATCGCCATGCACAGCACGTACGCTGCAGAGCCCGGCAGCGACCCGGCGCCACTGAGCCATCCCTCAGCTGAGGGCTGTGACACACAGCTCGCGTTGTGGGGACACAGCTGCATCTGCAGGGCAGCAGCTCCGTGCTGCATCCCACACCAGCGGCCCGGGCTGCCAGCACTCGTGCTTTATTACAGCCGGGAGGAGCGACGCAGCCCAGCCATCGCATCCGAGCCACCAACGTCACACAGACAGAAGTTCTGTATGCCCCCAAACAGCAGCAGAAAATGATTCCCATGAGATACAACAGTAGGCAGTGCAGACTGAGATACATATTGATATATATGTAATTTCTCTTTACTAGCTCCAAACATAGAACAGAAATGGGACCCCAGGCCTGTGCGCATCTTCCAGGCTTCCCCCAAAGGACTGCAGTCTCAGTGACGAAGCTCCCCCCTTCCTGCTCACATTAAGTGCTTCCTCACACCTTCTGCCAAGTAACCGAAGGGACGACTGTCACTGTCCCACTGTCCCCAGACAGAAATGAAGAACAAGGGAACATTTTTCAGGAAACTGTTTGAAAACAGCATCTAATATTCCTATTCAGACACGTGGGCAGCACTCCCAGGAATCATTTAGGACAGCACTGCCAGGTTTTGGGTAGCAGAGAGTCTCTGTCGGACCCAACAGGAGTCTGAAGAACAGATATCAGGAATTTGAACCTGTAATCCTCGGACTCTTGCTGGGACAATGGTGTTTTCCATGGCTAATTGTCAATCACCGCTCAGTCTAAAGGCAGATCAGAACCATGCTGCTATTAATAAAGAGGGAAGGGAATGAAATCTTCTGGAGCTTCAGCACAGAGCCAAGGGAGCCCTCCTAAAGGCTGGCAGAGGCTGCTGCTATTTCTCCAGCCTGAACTAGAAAGCTCCAGGCAGCAAAGATGGAAACGGGGTGAGAATACACAGCAAGTCTCTAACGCTGCCCATTTTGCAGGTGACGTAATGCACCACCTCAGCACAGAACAAAGACGCAGCTGATAGCAGTGGCAGAATTCTGTGCATACAGTCAGCACAGCTCCCGCAGTGCCGAGAAACTGACAGAGCTGCAGAGAGAACCTCTGTTCCCATGGCAGACTCAAAGCAGCCCACCTGCTCACAGCGCTGCTGATCTGCAGCCGGCTCCAGGACCTGCATGCGTGCAGCTACAGCTCCATGCAACCATCGGACCCGACACGTTTCCTTCTGCTCAGGATCCTTTTAACCCCTTAGGGAGCACCATTCTCTAAGCCCCAACTCTGTCAGCTTCAATCTAAATGTTATCACCTCTACAGTCTCCATATTGGGATTTGCTGGGCCGTATTTGCACAGACATGAGCAAGTTGAAAACGCAGTGTGCAATGATACCAGGAAACTGCCGTGAAACATCACTGCCCATTTGTGTACCCTGGGTTCAACATGCTGATTGCCAGAAAGGCATTATCAGCCAAGTCTCAGCAATGAACACAGGATGAAAATGCAAATGAAAAGGGGGGGGAGAAAGGAGCAGTAATTTGTTTTTACCTTTACCAACAACTGCTTCGCGTTGCAATAATTAACAGAAGGGCTGTAAGCACCACAGAGGACGTCCAAGACCATTTATCCTTTATTATTTTTTATTTTGCTATGCAAATCCTTGTGTTTGGGCTCACTTCAGGGGCCGTGGGCAGCCAGCACTTAATACTCAAGGAAAATACATCACCAGTGTTTCTACGTTCTTATCTTTCATCTCCAACGGGGGGGTCTCATGGCAAGTACCTGTGCACTGAAGACAAACGCTCAGCTGCACATAAATCAAGTTACCAAAACAAGCTTTTCTCTGCTTACATTACACAGGAAATCTGAGCTGTGTAAGGTTCCCTGCACTGGAAGCACCAAACTTCTAAACGCAGCAAAAATGGGTGCATGCCTGTGCTGCCCAAGGTCAACCTCATCCCATGTACTCTCACCTCTTTAAAACCTGGGGCAACACAGAACCAAATACCTTTTGCCAATGTAACATAATTTGCAGACTGAGGGGAATTTGTGGGTTCTTCAAGGCTGCTTCCAACAAAGTCGATGAAAACGACTGCATTTCTGTATCTGAAACACCTCATAATTTACAGAAAACAACCTGAAATTGCAGTCTTCTCTGGAGATTATTATTCTTCAATTTTAACCATAAAAGCCCAACTCTGAAGGCCCACACGTAAATCCTGGACAACATATTAACTCAGGAAGCCTGCTCCATTGTGCCAAAGGCAGTTTGCACTCCTAGTGCTCTCAGTGCTCACGCAGGAGCGAGGCACTGCCCCATGGGTCACAAACTTGGAAGTGCAGCAAAACTCTCCTCAGAGGGGCAGGAGGAGCTGCTCAGCCAGAACCCGACCCATGCAGAGATCAGTCTGAATCTGCACATACGCACCCTGTGTTAGAAGGCAGCCAACACAGCACTTTCCAACACCTCCCAATTTTTCTCCCACGTGTGAAGGTTACGGGGTCACTGCTGCGAATGCACGTGATTGCTGATACCAGGTGGGACAATCTCCCCACAGAACCACCAAAACCACACAGCCACAGTGCTGCCCAGCCACGCCATCCCACCAGCAAGCAATAAGATGCTTAAAGGGTGGAGCTCCCACCCTAAATGACACAGGTAAAACAAGAACCAAACCTTGTGCTGCAGAAGGCATTCACAACTGAAGCGCTCCCTGTGACAGCACACATGTCCATCCCCATCTTCCAACCCAAGCCCTGTCCTAGAGACAATTATTACCCAATGTATTTCATGCTGGGATTCTCACTTTTCAGGCTACACAGAGTGGCAACAGTGTCCCCATTTGGTGGGCAATGGCTCACACTGTGTCTCTGAGGGATCTGCACTGAGCTGCTTTTCTCACCTCTACATGCTGCTTTACTGGACGAGTAAAGAACCCAAAAAGCACTTCATTACTGCTCTCTTCCTATTTTACAAATGATTGGTTGTTTGCATGTAACATTTTGCTTGGTTCCTCTGTACAGTAAAAACACCAAGCAGTCGAAGCATTGGCTTGACCTGCTTTGTTTTTGAGGAGCCATCACTGTCAGTAACATCCTGGCTGGGTCTGTTTAATGGTGGAGCTCACAGGCAGCGATCTCAACCACCAAACAAAAGCACTTAAAATTTCTCCTTAATATTGTACAACATATGGACAACCCTGCTTGTCAGGGAGATCGCCGTCAGGCAGAGAGAAATGCCACAAGTACAGGAAAACACAGTTCACACTGTGCCCAAGAGACAGGTGAAGGTCTGTGGATCTCTGGAACGGAACGGAATCTCTGCGTTGTGCCATTCCAACTCAGCAGGAGATGGGGGGGTCAGGCTGACTTTCCCCCCTCAAGTGCCCATTTCTGTCCATAACCTCCGTAAAGCACTTCCCAGCTGCTCAGAAATTTGCTGTGCTTTCCCACAGGTGCCAACACCGTACGGGATGTGCACAGAAGCACACAAGGACCATCAGCTACCGGCACGCTGCTCATCGGCACGGCGGCACGCGGTGCTTGCAGCGTCTGCCTCCTCCAAGACGGGCTGCAGCAGCTGTGCGCAGAACTGAAACAAACCGACCCGCTGGAACCGGGAAGAGAAAAGAGGCCGAGATCTCCGACACCGGGAGCTTTTGGAAGCAGACATCTATCCCGTTTGTCCCATTTCTCAACTGAGAGTAGCCCAGATGGTCTGAATTCCCGCTCTTCCTTAAGAGCCGCTTTGCCAAAGGATTTTGGGAACAGATGTGCCTACAGCATCCCCTCCGGGAAAGTCTGGGCCATCCCGTTCGTCATGCCCACCCAAATGGGAAACCGCGAGCCGGAGGCATTACAGCGCGCTTCTGCACGTGCGATGCTCCTGCGAGCGTCGGGCCGGGAGCCGCGTCTGTCCGTGACGGCGCCCAAGGAGCGGCGAAGAGGGAGGAGGGCACGGCGACGGACCCGACCCCGAGCAAACGCAGCCGCGTCCCGCAGCCTTCCGCGAACGGAGCGGCGATCCCCGCCCTCGTACACTGACCTGGGCGCCTACAAAGGCATCGGCGGCGGCTGCAGCCCGCGCCCGGCGGCGGGGCAGGACGGGCCCGGCTCTGTCTGCCGCGGCTCCCGCCGGGCTCATGGCACGCCGGCAGCCAGCCGGAGCTCCCCGGCGCGCCGCAGCCTCAGCAGAGCGCTCCCCGCGGCGGAGCGCGGACCGGCGGCGCGCAGGGCCATGTTCCGGCAGCGGGAGGAGGAGGAGGCGGCGGCGGGAGCCGGAGCGGAGCGGCGGGCAGAGCTGCGGCGCGGGGCGAGCACCGCCTCCGGGCTGCGCGGGGATG